GGYKGGCACAGTGATGCACACCTGTAATCCCAGCAGCTCAGGAGGCTGAGACAGGAGGTTCTCGAGTTCAAAGCCAGCTTCAGCAAAAAGCGAGGAGCTAAGCAACTCAGTGAGACCCTGTCTCTAAGTAAAACACAAAATAGGGCTGGGGATGAGATTTAGTGGTTTAGTGCCCCTGAGTTCAATCTCCAGTAACACCCCGTGCCAAAAAGAAAAAAGAAAAAAAATATATATATATGTGGAGTACTGACGTAACTGTCGGGCTTGAGCACCTGGGCCTGGAAGGCAACTCACTGCACTGTCCACATGCCTGAATTTCCAAGTGTAGAGGAATTCCCTGCTTGTGAAGGGTGAAGATGGATACTGGTTAMGGGTTCTGGTCTGCCTAGTAAACTGATAAAATACAGTGGACAATAAGCTAGAATTGAAGCAAGGAGCTCAATCGTCTGTGACCCTTTTTCTTTCTATTTTTTCCGGAGATATAAATATGGTACAATAACCTCTGAATCTGCTAACAGATTTAAGGTCTGTTTATTAAGGAAATGATTAAGAGATGAGGAATTACTTCTGGTATTTTAATTTTGAAGAACCAAGACCTAACCCTTCTTCTGATGCCCAGGGAAGTCTCATTGTGGTAGTCAGCTTTYCACCACTGTGACAGAATACCTGAGGAAAGCAACTTAGAGAAGGGACCTTTATTTGGGCCCCTGGTCACTTGGCCCCGTTGCTTCTGGGCCTGTGTTGAGGCCAAGAGCATCATGGCGGGGAGCGAAGCTGCTCAGCTCCTGGTGACCTGGAAACAGAACCAGGGGCAGGGTCATACCCTTCAAGGGCATGTGCCCAGTCACATCCTTCCTCCAACTAGACCCCACTCCTGAAGTTCCCACCACCTCCCAGAGTGTCACCAGCTGAGGACCAAGGGTCTCAACAAAGGAGCCTTTGGGGGAAGACYGGATCCATACTAGGATAATTATCATAAGGATTAAATCAGTGGTAGAGCAGTTGAAAAAATTACCATCCGAATGAACAGCGACTGAATCACCAGGAGTTACAGTTTTGGTGTGTCTGAGGTTCAGGGACCTTAAAATCAGCTCACCTGTACCACGTGTCACTCGTGACCTTCGGTACTCTGTATCATATACATATTAGAAAAACAGCTACGTGCATCATTTTAAATGTTATGTATACACRTGGCTGGGGTGTCGCCCAGCGGTAGAGCCCGTGCTTACCTGGGTTCCATCCCAGCACCCATGAAAGAGCAAAAGTTTTATGTAGACAGACAGACATAACTTTCCTTAACACTGCTTTTTAGTGGTTTTAAAATTTACTTAGCTGTTTTCAAAACACTCCCACTGGTAATTCAGATAATTCTAAACAGAATTTTATCCAATAGTTAAGTAGATCAAATAGATATTATCCCGGCTCTTCCCCACCCTAATAAAAAGGGAAAGAAACCTACGCTCAGAGGGAGAAATGGCTCATGGTCACTCGGACGGTAATAAATAGGCTATCATTGGGACTCACCTTATTCTGCTYTCAAGTCCAGTTTCCTCGTGTTTTAAAACAGTACACGATCACTGCCGACCAGAAGTTTTTTTATAACGTTTCAACGTTTTTTAACTATAGTGTGCTCAGGTGAGCTTTGACCCCTGACACTCCAGGTACCTGGCTTCATTCACGTAACGTCCTACATAGGCTGCTGCGTTATTCAGACTGGTGGTGATGAATTTYAACTGAGCCACTTTATAAAGCGGGGCTTTCATTCTCCTGTGATGTACCCCACCAGGATCACACCAGGGTGGGTGCAGACACCTCTCAGGATATCCAGCTCTTCGGGATAGGGATTCAGCCTGAGCACTGTGAGATCGATATCGCCTCCGACGGAGAGGTCACTCTGACTCCAAAAGAAAACGCGAGGTAAGAAGTGATGATGACGCTTTCCTGGGGCCTGCTTTCAGGGGAAGGCCACCGTTTGTGGGAATTGGCACAGTATCACTGAAGAGCACCAGCTCTGTCATGGTCAAAAAACCAGAGTTGAAATATTCCTATGAAGGGGAGTGGTGATTCCTGGCATGTGTGAACTCCAGTTCTGCTTATTTCCCTCTGAGCCTTAGAAGTCTAGAAAGAAYAGGACTCAGACAATGAGATTATATGTGAGAAGTAACTTATTGGAAAATTACAACTCAAAATAATGTCCATTATTTTCCTTTATCAGACTTGACAGCCCTTAACAGACTGGTCTTTAATTATTTATACCTTCCCCTAAGGTTTTTAAATTACCATGAAAACTTTTTGTTTTGAGCTGTTCCTTTAATACACATTTTTAGGTTTTTTTAAATATTTTTTTTTTAGTTGTAGTTGGACACAATACCTTTATTTTATTTATTTTTTTAATGTGGTGCTGAGGATCGAACCCAGGGCCTCACACTTGCTAGGTGAGCGCTCTACCACTGAGCCACAACCCCAGCCCCACACATTTTTGGTTTTTGCAAATGATGACCGAATATTCCATCAGGTACGCTTCCGTCTTGGTTGGGAGCACGCCACGTGAGACTCACTCTCTGGGGGATGCTGGCAGCCCTGGGTCTTCATTACTGGATTGTGCTTTTCTACAACAAATTCTCTGGTTCCTTCTTCCCTTGTTACTTGAAATACACTTTCTAAGACAGTTCCCGCAGTTATCTCTCTTGAGTACTGCACTGGTTTTCGTTTTCTTCTCTGCTCCCCTGACCTTGTCCTTCTGCCTCTTCAGGTCCTGTGTGAACGGTGCTCTTGTGTGCACTGCCACCCAGCTGTGGCACGGTGACAGAATCCTGTGGGGAAATAACCACTTTTTTAGGTAACGTCTTCCCGTTCTCTAGTATTTTCAGATTCMCGCTTTCTGTTATCTGTTTAAGTATCCAAGGAGTTGACTTTCTCCAACGGTGAAAACCCCACAGGATCAACTTACCGAAGAGGAAGCGGCGAGATTGGTTGAAAGACTTGGAGAAGGAGACGAGCCCGGCAGAGCATGACCTGGACGCGGCCAGCGAGGCTTCCTCGGAGCCCGACTACAACTACGAGTTCGCCCAGATGGAGGTCATCATGAAAACCCTCAACAGCAACGGTGAGGCCCGACTCCAGCCTCCAGCCTCCTGGGCCCGGCCTTCCCCCGGGGGTTCAGGGAGGAGTCGGGAAGTGGGAAGTGTCTTTCTCAAATTTAGACCCACAAAATGGCTAGTCCTGACGCGTGAGGCCGGCCGTGGTGCGCGGGTTTGGGGATGGTCTTCTGCCTCGGGTAGAACCAGAAAGCCAGCAGGCGCTGTTCCCGAGCAGACCGCGATAACTTCCYCTGGTCCTCGGGTTCTTACTGAATGACCTCGACAGCCTTTCTTATCACAATTGSCCGCGACTGAGACTTTCATTTCTGAACTCACGAGAGTGTGAAAATCTCCCAAGAAAACGTTGGGAATCCAGGAGTTTTTAATAGAATCTAATGGGGAGATAGAAGTTATCGCCTTTTACCATAAACTCAGTTGAAAACCATAAGTCCCCAAAAGACTTATTTGATAAATAAGCCCAAGTAACCTCATTACAAATGATAGTGACAATGAAGCGTTTCGTGGGTCCTGTTGACCTGCGTCCCCGTCTGCCTCGGATCTCTGAAGAAGGCTCTCTCCTGGCAGCAGTATTGCCGGGACCCTCTTTGCAGAAGGTTTTCAATGTTCATGTCAAGTTCCTCCTCCGTGTCCCAAGGGACAGATTCCTTTTCTCTCCCTCTGGGCTGTGCACACCTGTGTGTGTCTAGTAAACCACTGCAGTTGGCTTCCCTTGTCTGCTGATTTACTGTCCCTTCTTCCTGTCCCCAGTTTYCCAGTCCCCAGACGTGGGGCCTGGGACAGCAGACAGGACAGTTTTCCTGTGGCCTGGCGTCAGAAGCACCGCAGGGACTAGAATTGTTTCCAAGCCGGAGCTCAGGGCTACACTCAGGAGCACCCGAGAAGGTCCTYTGTGGGTGTGGCCAAGCTCACTCTCCCACTTGCCTCCCAGGACCCTGGGCAGCCCTGTGATTCACAGTGGAGCTCTTCCCTGAGAGAGTGACTTTCTCGCTCCCGCTTGGAAGAAGCCTCCGGAGGAGGTTGGCATGGCTGGACCTCTGGCATATGGAATTGGGGGTTCTGCATATAGAACTGGGGGTGCATCAAATAAAGAGAGATGAATAAAAAAGTCAMAGTCTTTATTCCAGTGTCCAGATCCACTGGTCAGTGGCACTTGCCTCCAGGGCACACCAGCACACCCTGGTGCACGTGCCACAGGGCTGGTGGCCCCATGGCATTCACCGCCTTCCGCTCTGCTGCTAGGTGGCTTCCCGATGGTAAGCCTGTCTGCCTGGTGGTCCTCCCCCTGGTGGTCCTATTTGAAGATTCTCTTCCCTCTCGTGTGGTTCCAGACGAAGCTCCTCCACAAACAATGGGACAGAGGTTCCTAGCCGGTTGGCCTCAGCATGCGGGGCTTGGCTGCTGTTCCGCAGGGCTGCTGTCTGGTGCTTGTGCTGCCGCTTTGGCCGAATCTGATTGACATCAGCAAGAAGCTGGAGCTTTCTGCCTGGCAGAGGTGCTCTGTGATCTCTCTCCCTGCCCCCTCGTGGTTTAGGGGATCAAGCCTAGGGCCTGCCCCATGCTAGGCAAGCACTCTACCTCTGAGCTCTATATCCCCAGCCCCTTTTTAAAGTTTTTACTTGGAGACAAGAGGCTCACTAAGTTGCTGAGTCTGGCCTTGAACCTGCCTCAGCCTCCTGAGCTGCTGGGACCCTGGGTGTCCCCAACCAGGACTGGCTATGTACTCTGTTCTTGACTGGAAAATGTTCTTTTCCGTTTTGTCCTGCCCCTCCCTGTCCCGGCTCCACTCCCTCATCAGTGGTTAAAGTTCCTTGACACTCTTGTCCCCAGGTCCAAGAGCACCGACAAAGGTGACTGRTGGTGCCCAGGATCAATACAGCAGGGCCGTGGTGCTTCCAGAAGTGCRCTCCCCTCCACTATCCTGGTGATACAGGAGAGTAAGGCGTCTGGGTCTCCAGAGGAAAAACTGATCTAAAACCCAGTCCTTTAGAATTTAAAGTAAAAGAAAAATCTAATTCCCATCAATAATGGTGCCTTCTGCCCAAGGGTTCCAATAGGAATTAACACTCATCTTACACATGGATTTGGATTAACGGCAGCCGCATCCCCTGGGCCTCTCATGGTGTCCCATGCCAGAGCATCCTGTGGCCCTGAACCTGGCCTCTGGGCCTGTAGKCTCCTGGCACAGAAGCGAGTTGCACAGTAGGACAAAAAACAAAAAAATACCTCTTTTCCTAATTTCTAGCTAGTTCTAAAGTAAAGAACTGTTAAGGGGCCAGGAGGGGTCAGGAGCCAATCATTCCACCTAAGACTCAAAGGTTTCACTCTTCTATAGGGTTACTCCCCTCCCATCAGTGCTCCGGCCATGTTGGTGCAAGTTAATCCTAATACTTTTTCTTAGGTGAATACATAAGAAGGGTTTCTGCYGACACCACTGCCACTATCATCCTCTCTTCCACTCTCTGCAGGACTGATTGGTCTGGGCTCATTTTGTATTTCCTACCAGGGAAATCACAAACTGGTGAGGAAGAGAGGGCTCTATATCCCCCCAATCACTGTGGTCCTTCTCTCTTCCTCAAAGACTTAGCTCTCTGGTATCTTGGCCTGAGGCACTAGGCTCACTGAATTTTAAAACAGTTCATTCAAGAGCCACAGAGAGGGCTCAGTGGCAGAGTGCTTGCCCAGCATGCACAGGACACCGGGTGACAACTTCACCATCACAGAGAAAATTTAAAAGGAGGAAAATGACGGGAAAACATAAAGTGGATAATCTTCTAATATTCAATCCAGCCACTGGAGAACAGGCCACATGGTCTTTGGCTTCTGTTCGGGGCCATATCATAGAGTCGATGGCCTTGTTGGTCAAGATGATTGACTTAAGAAGGTGCAGAATTGTGGCAGAGGCTTGATACAGGACGCTTTGGGGARAGGGAGTTATCACAAATGTCTGCGAGAAAGGGGTTTCCACAAAAGCCCTTCCCTGGGGCAAAGCCTCTAAGGCCAGCCACTGAGGCTCAGAGGGAGGAGTGCAGAGTCGTGTGGCCCCTGAGCAGCAGTGAAAACCCTAATAGTGCAATTTCTCTATGAAACTATTCTGCTGCTTAAGAAGGTGGTGAATTTTATGTCAGGAAAGAATGGTATATATTTTTTTCTCTTTTTCAAGAGTGTGCTTTTTAACAGAGTGCTTGATTCTAAGCAAAACATTGGGGGTAAGAATAAGACATTTTATTTACCAAGTTAATACCCAGCCAATCCGCCAGTTAGTTCCCTGAACTTCGAACCTATCTCTATCAGTTATTAGCTCTGTGATGTTAGGTAGCTACTTAAACTTTGTGAGTCCCGACTTCTTCATCTTTAAACCAGGATGAAGTCCACCTGGGGGCTTTTGTAAGGCTTTCAAGAGATGGCCGCACGCTGGGCAGGAGTCCTCTGCTTGAGATGTAGCGGGTAGAGTTAATTTTGCCACTGTGTTTCACTAAAACAACTCACCATATTGAGTGTATCTTGTGACTTTAAAAAAAAATTGCTTCTTTCTGTTTTGTATTACTTAACCTCATTTTTTTAAAGTTAGCATGTTACCTTTTCTCCTAACGCTCATATAAAAAATTGGTACGATTTACGTGTTTATTTCACAACCTGATGGGGAATTTTGGAAAAGTCAGTCGGTGCCATAATCAGATGATACAAAGCTCCCTCCTGCATCACTTTAACTTCCAGCTTCTTTCTGGTAAATTGAACTGAGAACTAAAGTGTGGTATACAACATAGTGCACTGAGTACAGGCCAGGGCGTAGAGGCACAGGGGGAACTACGTTCCAGGCAGGTCTAGAAGTGATCTCCTCTTGCTTCCGTGTCCTTTCCGGAGGCGTTCACCACAGTGGTGAGGTCTTGCTCTCCCATGAGGTGGTCTGGCACACTCCCCTGTAGGCCACTCTGCCCCCATGGGATGCCTGTACCTTGGTGCATGTGGTCAGCGCCTTCATCTGTCTCCATGGCACCCAGCTCCGTGGTCATTGCCTGCTCATGTCCTGCTCAGCCAGTCATCTCATTGGGCTCAAATCCTACCTACACCACAGCCACCACTAGTCATCACATGGCCCCTTTGAGCAGTCCATCTGTGTGTCTACCCTTGTGCACACGTATGTCGTGGGAGCTGAGACCTGGATCGGCAAGATGGCAGGTGCAGGTTTTGTTAGCTTTGCAAATTAATGACCGTATTAGCTGTTGCCACCTCAGAAACAGCCAGACCATACACTCAATCCATATTTTCAAACATATGCTGTGATCTTTCGGTTTCCTCTCCTCTTAGAGAAATTCAAGAGTAATGAGGTATGTAGTAGAAATCATAAACCCTCTGACATACTCATATCTAAGTTAGAGGTGCCTAGAAACCAAGTCAGCAAAGATCCCATTATCTGTGGCGCTGTCCTGGGTTTCATGACGTTGTTCTCAAGGAGATGGGTGATCTGTCCGAACCTGAAGGCAGTCGCGGGGTGGATGTGAAGAATGTGTACCTAAGAGGCATTTATCCAAAATGCTGTTAAAAAGGAAACGGAGCGGAGTTGACCTGTGAGCCCGTAGGCATCTCACCGAAGGGGCCTGGGGGCGAGGACCTGGGCGGGTGACCGCCCTAGCCGCAGCAGCCCCGGCAGGCTGCCTGGGTGTTGCCTCGGCCTCCACTCAAGAAGCTTGCCTTGTCTCTTGACTCCCCAGACCCAGTGCAAAACGTGGTCCAGGTCTTGGAGAAGCAGTACCTGGAAGAGAAGAGAAGCGCCCTGGAGGAGCAGCGGCTCATGTACGAGCGGGAGCTGGAGCAGCTGCGCCAACAGCTCTCCCCCGAGCGGCAGCCCCCGAGCAGTGGCCCCGACCGCCTGTCCTACAGCAGCCAGACCGCCCAGCAGAAGGTGACCCAGTGGGCAGAGGAGAGGTAAGAGCTGGCGGGCGGGCGGGCGGCCCAGGGCCAGGCGCCAGGGGCTCGTGAGGCCTGCCCAAGGGGCACCTAGTTTGCTGGGCAGTGRCTTTTCCTTTCAGAGACACCGTCCACCCCAGATGTGTCGGGGGTGTGGGCCGCAGCACGCCCTGAGAAAGACCCCACACTTTACCCTTCTGGACAAGGAGCCAGCGTAGGAGGCCCACGCTGCTTGGTGTTGAAAGAGGATGAGTGGGAATAAGCCTTTAACAAAAAGCAGATTCTTCTTTTTTATTTCTTTTACTTTTAATTCTATTCAAATTTAACCTCAAGGTAGAGAAGCTTTTGATTCTATTGAAATTTAACTTCAGGGTAGAGAAATCTAAACGTGAATTTTCAGGACGTAAGATTTAAAATGATTATATCAGACCTCTCCAAGGAGGCAATGGTGGAAGAAATGACAATAATGACGGCCACCACAGTGAGACAGTGAATTGACACCGATTTCCGTTGTGTTCACAGCACAGTCTAGGCATGGCGCTAATTTTACTCAACACTCCCAACAGCACTGTGCATAGGAACTATTATTCCTGCCTTTTTTTAAAATTTATTATTATTATTTTTTTTTTTACCAGAAATTGAGCCCTGGGGTACTTTACCACTGAGCCACATTCCTAGTCCTTCTAATTTTTTAATTTAGAGACAGGGTCTTGCTAAGTTGCTTAGGGCCTTGCTAAATTGATGAAGCTGACCTCAAACTTAAGATCCTCCTGCCTCAGCCTCCTGTGCCTCTGGGATTACAGGCGTGTGCCACCACACCCAGCTTATTCCTGCTTTATAAACTCCCATCACCTAGTAAGTAGAAAAGCCAGAGCTTAAATCCAGGTCTGTCTACACTCCTGGACGAATCCTGTGTTACAATTAACAACAGAGGTTTTGCAGAGTATTTACTGTGCTCTGGGCACCAAGTGCTCTACCTTCCCTCCTGTCATCGTCACCTGCCATTGTCTTTGGCTGTGCTCACCCTCTTACACAGGAGGAAACTGAGGCTCGGGCTTGCCCAAGGTCAATTAGCTGGTAAACTGAGCCGTGGGGTTGGAGCCAGGGCAGTCTGACTCAGGAGCCTTGACTCTGGCCCACACGTTCCACATCTGTCCCTGGTAGTGACAGGCTGGACAGGAGCCCCATCCAGGGAGCTGGGCCCAGAGAAGGGGAGCGCGCCCTGCACCTTGTGCTCTGGTGCCGGGCTGTGCCGAGCCAGGAGAAAGGAGTCRGTTGCGTCTTCCCAGGGGCTGCTGACTCATCTGTCCCGAGGCCCRGCCGTGAAGGCTCATCAAGGGTCAGTGTGACTCTTTATTTTCCTGTCCCTGGGAGAAGCTGACACAAGTGACCCAGTGGCGCGTTCCCAAAAGCCACCTTTCCCGCGTCTACTGTGAGCAGGTCGCCAGCTTTTGAAGGTTTGGGTGTAATTATTCCCATTGATGCCCTTTCTGTTCAGTCAAGAGTATTAAAGACAAGAAAGGTACCTGATAGAGAAAGTGGATCTGCCTTTAATTATAGCATCCTTCAGTTAATTATCTAAATTTTTTCACTTCCCTTAATTTTTTTTTTTCCCCCTCCAGAGTAACAGGCCTGAGTTTATTAGAAGGGATGAGAAAGGGAAGGGGGAGACTCTCGAGGGAGAGAGTGGGTCTTCTTGGAGGCAAGAGGCACTGGGACTTAGATTCTTAAGAAAGACYGGAGAAGCAGATATCTGGGGAATGTCGTTCAGAATGATAAGCAGGATTGTYGTCTCGCTTTCATGGGGTTTCACCAGGTGAAGAAGTGTGGCTGGTGATGAGAGGCTGAGCCTCCTGTSCACATCCATGTTGTAGCAGAGGATCAAGTATGTTCCAGAGCTGCAGAGAGCTGCAGAGAAAGCTTCAGATGCTCTCTGTACACGTGGGATGTAACGTGGAGCCAGACAGTGATAKGAAAACTGGAATCATAACTGGAGGCTACGGAACGGTTTCATTCCACAGTGGGAAAGGCAGTGACTTTATATTTATTGATTTATCTGCTTTCTGTCTTCTCCACTGGAAAATGCGTCCTGCGGACAGGGAATCTGTTCTGTTCATGGAAGTGTCTCTAGTGCGTCGAACCCTGTCCCTTGGTAGGGAACCAGTAGATACTGTTTGKGTTGGTCGTGTGAGTTTGTTGACGTGGCTAGGAGGTGTGTGGTCGCCCTGTGGGCAAGGGCATGGTAAGGGTGATGGTCCTTTGGTGGAGGATGAGACCCCAGCCATGTGGAGTCTTCTGCAGAGATTTTCATGGAGAAAGCAAGATTTCAAGTGAGTTTGGAACATGGAGTTTGAACAGGTAGAAAACAGAGAAGGGCATATCTTTTCCTTCCTCATCTCCCTCTCTTATTTTCTTTCCTTCCCTCCCTCCCTCCCTCCCTCCCTCCCTTCCTTCCTTCCTTTCTTTTTTTTTAAGCAGTGGGAGGCTCTGGGTTCAATCCCCCTGCTAAGCATGTCCACTCTCACTTAGCTATAGCCCTCGTCCCTGTCGGAGGTCCCTGGGCAGGTGTGGGTTGGCATGAACAGATAGGAAGCAATGGAGATGTTTGGGGAAGGCGGCACTGTTTTGTTTAGTCCAGATGGTGATTTATAGAGAAGCATGGAGAATTAATTTTAACACTCTTACAACCTGTGGGAGACCTACAGACGTGAATGTCTGAGATTTATCCCCTGGGAGAAGAGCATCCCAGCTAGATTTTGAGCCAGAGAGTGGCCTGGCAGAGGCAGGAGAATGCCCTGTAGAGAAGGGAACTGAAGAAGCCGAGAGGGGCTTAGGAATGCTTCAGAGAAGCATCAACAGGGCTCGGGATGTTGTGGGAAAGAGAAGAGACCAAGCTTCCTGCGAGAGCCAGGGTGGGCGCCTGGAAATGGACATGCCCTTCTGGAACCATCCTGGGGATGTGCACACTCTCCAGTGTGCCTCCTRTGTCGCCTGCCAGGGGGCGAGAAAGGAGCAGGACGGTGTGTTCTGAGCTCATCTTCTCCCAGGAAGGATGGGGCATGTGAAGGGTAGAAAAGAAGCCCTCCACGCTGGGCAGGCACAGAGCCGTCGTGCATCTGGTTTATCTTTGAACCCAGATTCAAAAGTGAAATCCAGGAGTGTGCGTTTCTTCCATGCAGTGGGTCTTTTTAAGTGTCTTCTGCTGGGCCCTGCACTTGGCCAGGAACTAAGTGTAGCGGAAACAAAAAGGACATGGTCCCTGCCTGAGGGGCGCTTACAGCCTAATCAAGTAATTGATGCAGGTAAATGAAAAGTCCTGACTGTGACAGATGTGGAGGCAAAAGATGTGGAGCTGTGRGAGCCAGTCATGAGGTTCTGACCGAGTCAGGTGGCTGGAGAAGCTTTTTATCACCAAGTGCTATTGTGTGTAGTTGAAACAAGAATCCCCGCTGCTGCAGAGACGGTGACCTTCACCAGCTGAAGAAATCCTCAGTTTCTTTCTTCTTCTAACTCCAGGTCTCTCACCTCCCAACCCAACACCCCCGCCTCTGCCAGCCTGCAGCACACAAAAGTCATAACCGTCATTTCTTTTTCTTTACTTTAAAAAAAATAAAATAAAATCCTCATGTCAAAATCGGGTAGTTTTTTAAACATAACTTTCATTTTTTTTGCTGCTATGGGTTGAACCCAGGACCTTACTCACTCCTGCTAAGCAAACGCTCGACCACTGAGCGACCACCCCGGCCCCCAAACCTGGGTTTTACTTCTGTGCCCCTGCAGCTGTGACCCCAGCGGTGATTCTAGGAGATGACCCAGGCATGGGCTGGAGGGGTCAGAGGGGACTTGGTCAAACAGGTTGGAAAATTTTGTCTAAAAGAAGTTTTCTCCATTTTCTAATGAGTCCACTCACTTACAAACAGGTTTATGGTTTTGTTTGAGATGAGCTCATTTCCTTGTCTGTGACCCCACAGGGATGAGCTCTTCCGGCAGAGCCTGGCCAAACTACGAGAGCAGCTGGTCAAAGCTAATACCCTGGTGCGGGAAGCAAACTTCTTAGCTGAAGAAATGAGCAAACTCACTGATTACCAAGTGACTCTCCAGATCCCTGCTGCAAACCTCAGTGCCAACAGAAAGGTAAGGATGTCCCCGAAAGAAGGAGAGCGGGTCGTACGGTGGTCAGCAGCACCGTGAGCTAAAATCCGCAGATCACCTTCGGGAGATCCTGATGTGACCCAAGGTGTTCATTCCTTTTTAAGCCTTCCTTTGTAYCCCTCTCCAGGTAAGAATGCTCCTTAAACAAACCCTTTAGATATGCTCTAAGCTGGATCTGCAGGGTTTGGGCGGCTGAAGGAATTGCCAATTTAAATACTTTCCTACTGACRGAAGCATACTTAAGTGATCAAGCCTGCGTTCCCCTTGCACAGAAACGTCCCCTCCTGAAATGGGGGCCATCTGTATTTTGTTACAATACCTTTTAAAGAGTGAATCCTAGGAGGAAGGGAGGTTTCCTGTCATTTCAACTTGGAGAATTCTTCCTGTAAGSGGAAACTGGGAAGAAAACAGCCCTKCATCCATTYGTTTTCAATCCAGGAAGCTAGTGAGGAAGGGAGTCAGGGAGCACCTCATCGGTCTTGCGAGGTTGTAGTTCTTTGACCCAGTAGTTCTGAGTACATAGGCCTAGAAGGGTATGTAGTTTTATGTCCTTCGTATACACGGTTGCTGTGTCCGGCGGCCTTTGTAGTAGTGAAAACTTGAAACAGCCTTGATGTTCAACAACAGAATAATCAGTCATGTGTGGTAAGTCCAAATGGTGGTCTGCTATGTTGCCATTAAAAATCACGTTTGTGAAGAATATTAAGAAAATAATAACAATGTAAAAACAAGGAGAGAATTGGGATATGAGATATTTTGTTTGATCCTGGTTATAATAAAAATGAAAAGTATAGCCAGGTGTGGTTGCACACGCCTGTAATCACAGTGATTGGGGAGCCTGAGGTAGGAAGATCACAAGTTCAAKACCAGCCTCAGCAACTAAGTGAGTTGCTAGGTAACTTAGCAAGATTCTGTCTCAAAATGAAAAAATAAAAAGAGGTGGGAATATGGCTCATGGTTAACCACCCCAGGGTTTAATCCCTAGTGCCAAATAAATAACAAAAAGATAAATGACAAGTGTGTGCATGGGTGTGCATAGAAGATAGAAAATAAACTGCAGTATTTCCTAGGTAAGAGAATGTTAGCTTTTAAAAAATTTTTTATTTGTTTTAATTAGTTATACATGACAGTAAAATGCACTTTGATATATCATATGTAATGGAGTATAATTTCTCGTTCTTGTTATACATGATGTAGAATCCCACCAGTCATATAGTTACATAGTCCACTGTCCTTCCTACCACCATACTCCCTCCCCTCCCCTCACTCCTAAAGTAACTCTATTTTTCCCACCGCACCCCTCCCCAATTGTGAATTAGAATCTGCATAGCAAACATGGGGCTTTTGGTTTGGGGGGATTGGCTTATTTCACTTAGCATGATGAGAATATTATCTTTTTTTGTATACATTTTATGTGTTCTGCAAACTCTTTACTTTAGTGTGAGTGTGTGTGTGTGTGTGTGTGTGTGTGTGTGTGTGTAGGATTTAACAATTTTAAAAAGCTGCAATGTTCATTTTGTTGATTTTCTTCGTCCTGCAGAGAGGTGCGATAGTGAGTGAGCCTGCTATTCAGGTGAGGAGAAAGGGGAAGAGCACCCAAGTGTGGACCATTGAGAAGCTGGAGAACAAGTTAATTGACATGAGAGACCTCTATCAAGAATGGAAGGAGAATGTCCCTGAGGTAAAAGGACAACACATAAAGGAAATTGGGTCACATCAAACGCCAAGACCACAGATGRCGTCATCACCAGAAACCCACCTGCGTGCACACATGCACATACAYGTGCTCACAAGCACACAGGCACGCACACCCGTGACACTAGGGAAAAACAAAAGTGATTTTGAAAGAGTTTTAGTAGCGGCAGTAGCATGGCAGGATGGGCACTGTCTCATTTCAAGTCTCGTGAACGGGACGGAATTGGACCTGTGCTGTCGCCTCGGTGTCCTGAAAATTGGTTTGTCTAGAGGCAGCACGGGTTTTGCATTCATTGTGTGTGCATGTGCCCCTAGGGGTGGCCTTGGCTGGGTGGGCTTGGGAGAGTGACTTTTGTGCACGTAATCCATTGTGTTGGAGGTTAGTAATAGAAGAGAAGGCGTGGCAAAGACCACGGGCAAAGCAGAGGTGTGGGGTGGAGAACCTGCAGGTGGCTGTGAAGGAGAAGATGAGCAGCAGCTGAGAATCCTCCATGCGGTCCTTAGTTCCCAACAAGGAAGCCCATCTCACATGCTGATGCTGTTGTATGACGTGAACATGATTCTTCTTTTACTTCTTTGTTTCCACTAAAACTTCCTTAAAGCATGATTTTTTTTTCCAATGCTGTTTTTAAATAACACAAAGCTGATGTCTTGTCTCCTGCCCACCCACCGCCTGCCCTCCCTACTGCTCAGGCCAAGAGGCTCTACGGGAAGCGAGGGGACCCTTTTTACGAAGCCCAGGAGAACCACAACCTGATCGGYGTGGCCAACGTGTTCCTGGAGTGCCTGTTCTGTGACGTGAAGCTGCAGTACGCAGTCCCCATCATCAGCCAGCAGGGGGAGGTAAGGACGGGTCGCCTCAAAATAGAGGTCTGACTTCTTCTAAAGCCATCTTGAGGTAGATAAAGAAACCAGGGCAGGAGGACACCATCTGCCTGCTCTTTCCTCGGCTAATCGCTGGCACTAGTAGAAACTCTCAAGATTACGTCATGGTCTTAAAAGGTAATTATAACACAGTTGATGTTTGTGGTTCACAAGTCTGTGTGTGTGTGTGTGTGTGTGTGTGTGTGTGTGTGGTGTGTATGTTTAACTAAACTGGAAATCTTTTGGCAACAAGATTCAGTTCCATGCCCCGTATTACTTCCCCTTTTAAAAGGCAATCTCATATCTGTAGTTCCTTCATGACCCCTAAATGGTGATTATAAGATGATATAACTTAGGAGGATTATTATGAAGCCCAAAATACTCAAAATAACAGATTTAAATAACCCATTGTTACCCCCTTTGGAATCCTCCTATTTCAGTTATTTAGATACAGTGGCTTGCTAGAGGCCTAAGACATTTTGGAAAATGTTCAAGTTCAAACTTTTTCTTTTTTAAGATCATTTCATCAGCTGATGTTTTTTATTTTTAGCTTAGCAATGTCCTTACTATCTAGCTTGTCCTTCATAACTACAAATTTGAAGTACCAAGTTGTGTTGTGACTCAGAGCAGCTTGGGGATAAGATGCCGTTCTCCCAGAGCCATGCTGGGAAACAGACCCGAGTGCCCTGGTGGGCTGCAGGTCCACGGCCCACGTCTGTGTGTAGTAACCCCCCACCTATTCGGCTCTGGACCAATAGCCAGAGTTGCTTTTTTCCCATGTTAAAAAATGCATAGCCCATCCAGGCGTGGTGGTACACACCTGTCATCCCAGCTGCGTGAGAGGTGGAGGAGGGAGGATTGAGAGGTCAAAGAGCCTCAGCAAAAGGGAGGCACTAAGCAATTTAGAGAGACCCTGTCTAAAAATCAAAAATTAAAAGTGCTGGAGATGTGGCTCGGTTATTAAGCACCCCTGCGTTCAATTCCTTGTATTGGGGGGGGGGCGGAAAAAAAATACATAGCTCTCCGGGCACAGTGGCTCATGCCTATAATCCCAGAGGCTCGAGAGTCTGAGGCAGGAAGGTGGCAGGTTCAAAGTCAGCCTCAGTAACATGGTAAGAACTTGTCTCAAAATGAAAAATAAAAAGGTTAGGATGTAGCCCAGTGTAAAATAGCCCTGGGCTCCCACCCCAGTACCCCACCCCACCCCAAAATTATACAGCTCATGTGGCAAAGGAATCTAATAGCTGAGACCCTTGCTCAGGGGTTCTTAAATTGGGGTCTGAGGTAGGCTGTGATACTTCATGAATCCCCCTTAAATTACATTACAAATGTATTAGATTCCCCCCCCCCAAAAAAAATCAAAGAATACCATCTGACCCACTATCTTCTGGCTGATTTATCATGTTTCCTGTCTCCTCCTCCTGACCACTTCTGTTTGTCTCACTTGTCAAATATCATCAATTAGCTTCTCTCAGATTCTCGGTGCCAGTGGCCGTGTTGAAGCTGAGTCTGAGCCACCTTTCCAAATAACCCTCCCTGCCCAGGTGGCAGCACGGAAGACATGGCCCCCTCCTGGGCAGTCCTTCTGACCTGACCTGTGCGCTGGAGGGTGACCGGCTGCAGAAGGGCGCTGAGAACACCCCTTGAGCATCCTCCTTGTGCTCTAGTTCAGTTCCCTACCAGCGACTTCAGGGGGAACGCTGTTGAACCGGCCCCTATCCAAGAACTACCACCACCTGGGGGAATGAGAAACAGCTGTAATGGAGCTGGTTCTTATATCTGCGTGGCTTTCTTCAGGCTGTTCTTCCCGACACAGGTGTATCTGGGATCAGCACCCCTCGGGCCAGTCTGAGCTGCACAGTTCTCTGCTCCACGAGTGTGGGAGCCACGTCTCTTTGGTTTACGGCTGTGAGCACGGCTTAGCACCTTCCCTGGCACCATCCATTCTTAGTGAATACTTGTGGAGTCCATGAATGGACATATTTACCCTCTATCTGTGTATTCTTATTGGGTTTTGACTTCTCACTGTCTCTTCCCACGTGACTGGGAGTTCCCTCATGGCAGGGCCTGTATCTCTATCTTGGTGTCCCATGAGCTTAGGTGTTTGAAATAAACAAGTTCTGGAAGCATTTGGTCAAATAAATGCCTGCACAAATGTATAAACAGACGTGGGGCATAGAGAGTTCCAGTTGTTCCTGGGTGGACCTGAAGTAAAAAAGGTAAGACTGAGGATGTTTCCAAAAGGCAAATCGCGAGGAGGCAAATTTAGCTCAAAGTAAGGCAGGACGTTGCAGGCGCCGGGCTCTGGGCATGGTGGGTTTCCCATCGCTGGACATGGCCAGGTGGGGGCCGCAGAGATGTTCCCGGGCATTGGTAGGTGGGTTTCTGAGTCATGTCAGTGAGCCGGTGGCAAGCTTTGTAACTTCACGGTACTCGGTCCCCAGGTTGCAGGGCGCCTGCATGTGGAGGTGATGCGGGTGACAGGGGCTGTTCCCGAGCGCGTGGTGGAGGATGACTCTTCAGAGAACTCGAGCGAAAGCGGGAGCCTGGAAGTCGTGGATGGCAGCGGAGAGATCATTCACCGCGTCAAGAAGCTGACGTGCCGGGTGAGCGGGGCAGCCCAGGAGGCACACACAGATGACCTTTGGGGTGCGGGCAAAGGGTCGAGAAGTTTATGAGAATTTTTCACCCAGAGTCATAAAGTTTAAATTGTCTGAAAACAGATGGGACCGTGAGCGACATCTTCTCCAGAAGCATAGCACGCTTTCTGAAGACAGTTGGATAAAATTCCAAAAGCACACGTATTCCTCCCTCACTACCCCTGGGGAGTTGGTTCCAGGACACACTACTACAGATACCAAAGTCCACGCAGGCTCCAGCTCCTTATCTACCATGGAGGAGGATTTGCATATAATCTGTGCACCCTCATAGACTTTAATCTCTGGATCACATACACATACAGCAAAATGCTACATAAGGAGCTATTCTACTGTGTTGTTTAGGAATTGATGACAAGAAAAGAAATCTCCAGGGGTTCTGCACAGGCTTGGTATTTTTTCAAACATTTTCAGTCCTCTGTCGGTTTAGCCCACAGGTGTGGTTGGCTCACCTGTGTTGGGCTCATGGGGAGTGTGTGCTGCTTAGTGAGTCAGGTCACATCTGTATCAGAAACTTGGTCAGTAGGAAGGTTTGCAGGGATGTGTGTACTTGTTACCAGGTTTTCCACTGTGGATAGAGAACTCTGGTACAGATTTCACTCTACATAGAACCCTTCGTGAAATAGCGTCAGATGTTCTCAGATGACAAATGGATGACTGCTTCATTTCGTCACCTTCTCTTCACTTGGAGACAATAGTGTGTGACTTAATGTTCTCTTTAAAGGAGTCATATTTGCATCTTTTAATCTCCTCAGGTCAAAATCAAAGAGGCAACTGGGCTGCCCTTAAGCCTGTCCAATTTCGTCTTCTGTCAGTACACCTTCTGGGACCAGTGTGAGTCTGCCGTGGCTGCCCCRGTGGTGGACCCCGATGTGCCTTCCCCACAGTCCAAGGATGCCCAGTACACAGTGACCTTCTCTCACTGTAAGGTACAGATGCCATTGCAAAATGAGCTCCAGGGCTGGGCGTGACTCGGAGCTAGAGCCCTCGCTGTACACCTGTACACTGTATGCGTTCCAGGCCCTGGGRTCAGCGTTGAGCACTGCAGAAAAACAAAGTAACAAAGCAAACTATGTCTGGGCAATGGAGTCAGGTGCAGCTATAAAATCCAATCATAACTTCCAGGGTTTCCCTGTAAGAGTTTTCATTAAACGTAACATCTTATTGGACTTTTTAACTTCAAAATGAACTTTTTACAAATTTGAATAATTTAGAAATATTTAAAACAAAATCTGAAAGACTTCAACTTGCAGTCTTATTCTACAGACTACTGCTTCTACCGTAGCAGTTTTCTATGTTGGTTTTTTGAGCCAGGGTCTCACTGTGTTGCCCATGCCAGCCGTGAACTCCTGGGCTCAAGAGATCCTCCTGCATCAGCCTCCCGAGTAGCTAAGACTGCAGATGTATGCCACTGCACCTTGCAATGTATTTTAGTAAAATATTTTCTATGCCTTGCAACTCTCGTCTGTGTAGGATGAACATGTGCATATACACATAAATGGACATAGATGTACACYTTTACATCATGCCCATGTAATTTGGTTTAAAAATATTTTACAAAATGGGAATCACACTAGACCCTGCAGAATTGTGAGCCTCTTGATGTGTGAGTTGTTGTAGATACTTCTCATTCTTTTGAATGTGGCATGATATTCTAAGCACAGCGTTCTGTGTGAATTTTTAAAGAAAATATAAAATGGAACAGGGGAGCTCATGGTGAGTGCAGGTGACTGACCTTGGGGAGGCACTGCCAGCAGTGGTCTTTTTCTGAAAGACCAACTCTATGCTCTCTGAAATCGTCCTTTTCCTGGACAATAGATATTCAAGACCCTTTCTTTTTCAATATAATTGTGCTTGTTCTTTCCRGCTCCACACTCGGGAAACACATGCATATCACCACCTATCAAATTTCACATAGGGAAAGATTGTCAAGTCTTTTTCTAAATGTAGCCTTCATGTCTTTACTGGTATTTAGCAAGTCTGTTCTCCAAATCTTTATCAATCATTCTTTTGTTATTATTCTCTGAATATTCTTTTTCTTTTGTACTAGAGATTGAACCCAGAGATGCTTCACCACTAAGCTACATCCCCAGTCCTTTTTATTTATTTATTTTTTGAGACAGAGTCTCACTAAGGTGCCCAGGTTGGCCTCTAACTTGCAATCCTCCTGCCTCAGCCTCTCAAGTAATTAGGATTACAGGTGTGTGCATCATACTCAGCCTGTTCTCTGAATATTCTTTTTTTTTTAATATTTATTTTTTAGTTGTGGTTGGACACAATACCTTTATTTTATTTATTCATCTTTATGTGGTGCTGAGGATCGAACCCAGGGCTTCGCACATGCTAGACGAATGCTCTACTGCTGAGCCACAACTCCAGCCCTCTGAACATTCATTCTTTTAAATATTCCTCATATGTTTCTTTGGATCTACCAAGTGGTTTCTTTAGAAGTAGAAAAGGATGATGTCTGAATTTTAGGTGCATCCTGGTTAAAGACTATTTAATATAAACTATGTCCACAGCCCTAGGTGCACTATGAAACCTTAAGTTTTTTTTCCTTCTAAAATTCTGGGTCTGTCTCCAAATAAAATGAAAACATAATATAACTCAGTGTAACACATTGTTTCTATAAATTACAGTCACACAGTGACTCCACCTGAGAGTATCCACTTGGGATTCCTCTGAGATGCTAATGGAGAGAAAATTGGCTCTGTTCCTTTGCCTGCTGCATAATTCGGGTGATCTGCCACATCTCTCAGCCAATTCCCTATCCATTTCCACACCGTCATCTGTGTGTGCTTTAGAATGCAGACCCGAGGTGGCAGGGCTTAAGGGCAAGAGCATACATAAGTCATGAAGATAACTGTAGAAAATTGAATTCCATTATTACTCTCCCAAGCCATGGTGAGGAGCAATCCTTTGATTGAGTCCGTGCCAGCTGGAAGTCAGAGTGGCCCTGCAGAACCAAGAAGGAACCAAGAGGAAGAGAATGCAGATTGAGCTCTGCAAAAACCAGCTAGCAGTTTGACTTTGGATAAGTCCTTCTCTTCAGCTTCCTCACTTAGAAAAGAAAGCGGTTGAATTAAATAGCCTCACAGTTTCCTGCCAGATCCAATATTCTGTGCTTCTTTATCATTTCCCCAGAAAATAGAAGGGAGGGGTATAAGGGAGAAACAGGATAGACGCCTCCAGCCTGAATCGGTGTGCAGTTGAAGGCTAAGGGATTTCGCAGTCTGCTTATGCGTGGCTCCCGTCTTGCTCTCCTTTCTTACCCAGGACTATGTGGTGACTGTCACCGAGGAGTTCCTAGAGTTCATATCAGATGGAGCGCTGGCAATTGAGGTCTGGGGCCACCGGTGTGCTGGCAATGGCAGCTCCGTCTGGGAAGTGGACTCTCTTCACGCTAAGACAAGAACATTGCACGACAGGTGCGTCGTCAGCTGTGAGCTGGAAGCACAGGGTCACTTCATGAGTGAGAGAGAARCCAGACGGTGACCCCTGGACTGTAGTTGTCACCTTGGACAAGTTACTCAAAGTCTCGGTGCCTGCTTCCTCCGTGAGAATAATTGAAGGAGCAGCCAGGCACTAGAGAGACACAGGGGGAAGGTGGTTATTTCAACAGATACAACTACAACAGCTGCAAAAAAGGAGTCAGCCTTGAGTTTACTTCACACTGGACACAAAGATTAATATGAGATAGATCCCTAGCTTTAAATGCAAAAGCAAGACTATAAAGCTAATGGAAGAAAGCAGGAGGGCATCTTCACAATTTTGAGTTGGTCGCAAATTCTCAGGCCACAGAAAATGCTAATCAGAGAAGAATAAATTTTTTACATTGATCTTAATCAAAATTAAAAGCTGTGCCCATCAAGGGCTGGATTTGGCTCAGTGGTAGAGTGCTTGCCTGGCATGTGGGAGGCACTGGGTTTGAGTCTCAGCACCATATATAAATGAATAAATAAAATAGTGGTTCACCAACAACTAAAAAATTTTTGAAAAAAAGAGCTGTGCCAATCTAAACATATCACTATGAAAATTAATAGGTAAGCCACCATCTGGGAGAAAACTGGCAATTCCTTCTATGACCCAACAATCCCACCACTAAGTATTTAGATATTTAACCAAGAGAAATGAAAACCTATGTCCATAAACAGAGGTGTATACAAATGTTCATTTCAGCTTTATCCATAGTGGATAAAAAACTTGGGGAAGTTTCAAACAACCCAGATGTCCTTCAGTGGGTGAATTGGTAAACAAATACAATAGAGTCTTACTCAGCATTAAGGAAAGAACTATTTATATCCATTTGGATATCAAAAATCATTTTATGAAACCAGAGAAGCCAGACCCAAAAGAGTCCATGTGGTGTGATCTCGTTTATGTGAAGTTCTGGAATTGGAAGAACTCAGCTGAGAGGGTGGCCTCATGCCACAGGTTCAGGGGACTGAACGGGGAGCAACATGAGCAAACTCTAAGGTAGTGGTGGGAGGGGTCCACAGGTGTGTGCATTTGCCCAAACTCTTCAGCTCTGTGCTGGAGATCTGGGCGTGTCACTGAAGGTAAGTTCTGTCTCATTACATGCAAGCCCATAGGAGATCACCTATGTGATGGCCGTGGCACGGTGCCCAGCACGTGGGGCGTGCACAGTGACTGGTGGCTTGCTCCGTGACTAATACTGGTCAATGGCACTGTTTCTTGTTGGGTCGTTTTGCAGGTGGAATGAAGTAACTCGAAGAATAGAGATGTGGATCTCCATATTAGAACTGAATGAGTTAGGGGAATATGCTGCCGTGGAGCTTCATCAGGCTAAAGATGTCAACACGGGGGGCGTCTTCCAGCTCAGACAGGTACTAAGCGTGTTGCTCGATCCGGGTTTCCACTCTCCCACGGTTTCTGGGAACTTTCTAATTATTCATCTCTCTGTTCTCCAATACTTTCCCTTCCCTTATTCCTTCTCCTGTGCCTCCCCATCCCCATGCCTGTCTTCCCCCCACCACCACCACCACACCTCTGCAGGGTCACTCCCGGAGAGTGCAAGTCACAGTGAAACCCGTTCAGCATTCGGGGACATTGCCGCTCATGGTTGAAGCCATCTTGTCGGTATCCATTGGCTGCGTAACTGCCAGGTCCACCAAACTCCAAAGAGGGCTGGACAGTTACCAGGTAAGACACACAGATGTGAARTGGTATTTAACAAAGATCGGGGTAGGGGTTGTGGCTCAGTGGCAGAGTGCTTGCCCCCTATGCATGAGACCGAGTTTGGATCCCCAGCACTGAGGCAAAGGACTTAGATTGTGCAGAAGTAAAGAAGTTAATGCTCTCTGATGAGGACCTGCTTGGGAATCTAATGGAACTTGTTAATCACATATCTTCTCCCAATTCACATTTCCACCCCTTGCCTGTTTCCCTAGATTTAAAATACTGTGTTTGCTTATTGCTAATTAATAATAACCTATTTATAAACACACATATGAATGCTATAGTAGTCATTTACTTTAGGCAGGTTTATTTCATATCTGGCCCAAAATATGTTGGACATTTGAGGTCACTGCCTGGCCTGATCCACTTTAATGGCATATTTGCCACCGTGCACTTTCAGAATGAGCCAGTTCTTTTAAAGCTTTACTCCTTTTTTTAAATTATAAAGCTGTCCTCGTGACCATTTTTGTCCATTAAATCTCCATTTCCCAAATCTTATGCTCTCACTTAAAAATAAAAAAGATGAAAACTTCAAAGAATCGGTCTTCATGTTGCCAGGCAAACCCTCTTCGTTCATCCCCAAGAATAAGCTTCAAAGGGGGACTTGCCCCTGTGTGGCCTGACGGAGGGCGTGTGCTCCCGGCTCATCGTCTGTCTGGAGCCGGAGCCGGAGCCCTGCCGCCTGCGAATGCTTCATCTCCCCTCTCAGACCCTTTTGGCWTCGTGGCATTTAGACAGATTTTTCTGAAAGCCCAAAATCAGGGCACAGACTCTGGGGCTTTAAGAAGGGATGGCGTCTCCAGACCCCGCCTTCCCTCGTCCTTCCAGTCCCGAGTGCGRTGTGCTGCTCCAGGGTGGAGGGTGAGGCTCTGTGGGGCGGCTTCCCCCGACCTCCGCTGGCCTGGGCAGGGAGGTGGACTGWAGGAGCCTCATCCCAGCTCAGTCCCTCAGCTGGTCGTCAACTCCGGGGGCCACTGCAGGGCTTGGTAGAGGTGAGCAGAGACTTGGGGGTCAGGAGACCAGGCTGGTCATCTCTCCAGCTCTGCCAAGTCGTCGCCTTCGCCAGATAATTTAAAACTGAGGGTTTTTTCCCCCTTGTTCCAGATGGTGAAGACGATAACTCTCTGGGGTCTGTTTCCGCAGTAAAACTTTGTGGCTTAATAAATCTCAGATATTAGATGAACCCTTGAGTTTGTGTGTCTTAAACTGTGACCTTACAAAACATGGATCTTCAACTGGCTGAGTGTCCCCATTTCAGGGAGATTGTAAGGATTGGTTATCTGCATGTTTTAGAATGGCTCAACCTCTTGAGTTAAAACTGACTTTTTTTTTTTTTTTTTAATCAAAATGTGAACTCTAAACCATTAGCCTTTTCTCAGTGCTCTGTTCTCTTTTTGGGGGGGGAGGTGGTGGAGGGTAGGTACTAGGGATTAAACTCGGAGACACCTAACCTCTGAGCCACATCCCTAGCCCTATTTTGTATTTTTTAATTTAGAGACAGGGTCTTATTGAGATGCCTAACACCTCACTTTTGCTGAGGCTGGCTTTGAACTTGTGATCCTCCTGCCTCAGCCTCCCAAGCTGCTGGGATTTACAGACATACACCCACCACACTCAGCTGTATTCTCTTGAAGAATATAATACCAGGGCTGGGGTATACCTCAATGATGCAGTGTGTGCTTAGCCTGTCTGGGGCCCTGTGTTCCTTCCCCAGAAACACATATTCACACACACAAAAAGCATAGCACCAGCTATGCTGGTGACTGGTTTTAAATTTTTTTTTTTTTTTTGATACCAAGGATTGAATCCACTGAGCCACATCCCCAGCCCTTTTGTTATTTATTTTGAAGCAGGCTGTCAGTAAGTTGCTTAGGGTCTCACCAAGTTGCTGAGGCTGGCCTTGAACTTGTGATCCTCTTGCCTCAGCCTCCCTAGTCAAGTTTATAGTTGTTCACCACTGCACCCAGCCAAACTGTCATGATGTTTAGGTGAATATCTCTTCTATTAATGAAAAGTGTAGTCACTTTGCAGGCTATTTTTCCCTTTGCTGCCATGTTCAAGGTCATGGCTACTAACTTTTGTGGACATAGTATTTCATAATTCTTATTCAGGAGCCAGGAGCCAGTACAGAGTGTACTCATTTCCCAGTGGCGTCACATCACGAAAACTCTGGCCTGTTTTCAGGTGAGGGAAGTCCCTCCTTAGCTTACACTCCCCAAGTGTGGTGGAGTGCTCCTGTCACCCCATTGACTYGGGGAGACTAAGGCCCAATGAGTGCAAGTTCAAGGTCATCCTGGGCAACTTAGTGAGGCCTTGTCTGAAAGCAAAAATTTTAAAAAAGGRTTGGAATGTGGCACAATGGTGGAATGCTTGCCTAGTGTGGGCAGGGCTCAGAGTTCAATCCCCAACACCACACACACTCACACAAACACAACATCAGTTTAAGGTAAATTTTTTCAAGATTAGGCTTACATTTAATAAGGTAGTCATATAACTGGTAATGATGGTTACTAGACCTTCAAAAAAAAAGTGTAGTGTATTTTGAAGTATAAATGTGAATATCATTCTAACTTTTTAAAAACACTTTTAGGTTAATATCTCTTCTATTAATGAAAAGCATTTCGTTATAAATTGGGTTTTTATGATCTTGTTTCTCAGGAAAATTGTCTTAATCAAAACTTCTTTGTTGCTGGACATGGTGGTGGACACCTGTTATCCCAGCTGCTTGGGAGGCTGAGGCAGGAGGGTCACAAGTTCAAGGCCAGCTTTAGCAATTTAGCAAGATTCTGTCTCAAAATAAAAAAAAATCAAGAAGGGCTAGAGTTGTAGCTTAGTGGTAAAGTGTCTCTGGGTTCAATGCCCAGCACCAAAATAAAATAAAACAAACAAAAACCTGTGTTTGYACCTTGGTACTTTGTTTTTATCCATGTAAGGGTGGGTGCAGGAAAGACCACTGAGGTTGGAGACAGGCCCAGCTTCCAGCCTGGCTTCCAGGATTAATTCATCTCATCCTACAGGTCTTAGTTTCTTCCTGACCAAAACCAAGATTGGCACAAAGAATCTCTCAAGTCCCTCACGGATTTTCAATTCCGTCTCCCTCCGCCCCCCCCAGATCTCGGTTAGCCTAGCCGTAAATACATATTACCTGTCCTTTGGTATGAGGCCTGGCCCAATGGTGTTGGCTTCCATCTCCATCAGAGAGAGTTCTGTTTTTAAATAACTGCTCTATATTTTAAAAACTCTCTAGAAGCCAGGTGTGATAGCACACACCTATAATCCCAGTTACCTGGGAGGCTGAGGCAGGAAGACTGCAAGTTGGAGGCCAGCCTGGTCAATTTAGTGAGAATCTGTTTCAAATTTTTAAAAAGGACTAGTGATGTCGCTCAGTGCTTCCCTAGCATGTGTGAGGCCCTGGGTTCCATCCCCAGGACTTCGGGRGGTGGCGGGGAGAATCCTTCAAATTTTAGACAAGTGAATTAAATCCATAACCCTTTTTGAGATTCAATGAAATGTTCTGTTGTGCTGACGTTGTGTGAGCTGTCCATTATAATATGTATGTTAAGCTCTAAGAATTATTTTCCCTGTGTGCTGTTTGAGAAACAAAATGCATGTCCTTTGTGTTTATTTTTTTCCTACCAGAGAGATGATGAGGATGGTGATGATATGGATAGTTACCAGGTATTGCTACTGCTGTCAATCCTGTGGCATGGGGCACAGCTATTGCTAATTGCCAGCATTTGCAAAGTGGAAGCCAGGGAGGAGGAAGGAGGACCAGGGAGCCAGAAATTGCAGTTTTTCACTTGCTTTATATTTGCTTTCTATGTAATCAGGGGTGCGGTCCTGTTTCCTCTTATTTTCCCTGTTAATTCAAAATTTGAAACCCAATACTGTATTTGGTGCTCTGCCATCTGGAATCACTAGCTTATAAAGYCCTGCTAGGCAAGACCATTATCACTTAAAAAGACCTGCAGTTCTCCATCCATAGTGTAGTCTTTCCTAGGCTGAAATGCACTGTGCTTCCCACATCCAAGGAACTAGCATTTTTCYAATAAGCCACTTTACTTTTAAAAAGACTTCACTGGCTAGAAAAATGGGAGACATTCATGCATTTCATTTTGTTTAGCCAGTTTTCTCTTCATATTAGGGTTAAGCTTAGTTTTTTCACAACCTATAGGATTTGAATCTCAGCTTTTTCTTTTGGAAATGCACAAAAAATATATTCACATGCAAAGCAAGCACTAACTGGCTCCATATCAGAAAAGTCRGTTAGTGTGGTCAGGATCAAAGTAGCACACCTAGGTGAAGGTTTTGGGGATTGATTCCCAGTTTGKACTTTTCTACACAAGTTAAGAGGGTATTTATGCAGTGTGCCTTTCTGTATGTCAATTATGGGTGCATTGTGGGAAAAGCTTCGGAGACCCCAAGAGTCTCCTCCTAATGTAATATCTTAAGAGTTATATTAAAACAGGCCAGTCCAATAGCATTTCAAATAGAATTGATGGGTTTTTCCCCCTACTCTTAATTTCATAAAGAAAGAAAAAAAKGCAAAGCAAACTTTTCGGGCAATGTCAGTGTCCCCTTGGACCTCAGCAGTGCCGTTGACTAACGTCTTGTGGCTTTTTCCGCGCTTCCTGCCGCGTTGGTCCCAGCGAAGGCCGACAGCCGCTTCGGGGATTTCTTCAAGCATGGCTGAATGCATGTTGGGTTTTTGCATGGAAGAACCTTGGTTAGACTCATGGTGGAGGTTGGACATGAGGTCTGTGCAGCAACTTCAAAAGGTTCCCTGTTTGCATTTCAGAAAACAAATGTTATTAGACCATGGAACTATGAACTATGAAAATGCCTGACATTTTCCTTTCCACTTGGTGTTATGTGATTTGAGCTCTGTTCATGGTATCCTTCTGCTTTCAATTGCACATCTGTCAGTGAATAGCTACCATTTAAATGCACACACACACACACACACACACACACACACACACACACACATAGTATAAAAATCATTCAGCGGCTGGTATGGTTTGAGCTTATCTTGCTTTCTATACCATTATCCTCTTGGAGATCCAGGGCTCTGATTTCTGTATCCCGACATCCTTGATCCGCATGCGGTGTTACTGAGGCCTCTTTGCTTTCTTGCCTATTAATCGCCCAGCGATGTTCAATGACCTTTTCCTAATGAAAAGTTTCCTGATCAATTTGAACATCTTTTTAAAAAGAAAGAAACGGTGTTCTACGCACTGTATAGGAGATACTTTCCTCCGTCTTATCAGGAAGAAGACTTAAACTGCGTCCGAGAGAGGTGGTCAGATGCACTCATCAAACGACGAGAATACTTAGATGAGCAGATTAAAAAAGTCAGCAATAAGAAAGGTACGTGCGATTAACTCCCGGGACGAGCTTCTGTGCTTGTGAGCAGCGGCAGCAGGTTGTGTTCTTCCCTTGATTAGACAGAAGAATCTTTGTTTTCTGAACTTGAAACAGACACACAGATCCTTGTGAATCTCATTATATGTTGTTGGTTTACAAAGGCTCTGAATCTGAAAGTAAGATGTTTTCATAAATCTCTGAGCTTTGTCATAAAATTGTCACATTAAAGGTCAAACTCACATTGGGGTCTTTTTAAGTTGTTGATGGACCTTTATTTTATTTATTTATCTGCAGTGCTGAGGATCGAACCCAGTGCCTCACACATTAGGAAAGTGCTCTACCACTGAGCCACAACCCCAGCCCCTCGCATCTGGCTTCGATGAACAAAAATGTGATGGATCTCAATATAGCAGAATGAGGTGTGCCAGGTGCCAGAGTCAAGGGTTCACAGCAGCTTGAAGGTTCTGAGACCATGCTGGTTGGCACCAGGCTCCTGGTGGGCAGTAGCCTTGACCTCAGCTGGGTCACGGTGCTCCCTGCAGCTTGCTTTGGCTGACCACACCACTTGGATTCTGGAATAGAAATATGCTCCTAAAATCCTTAGTCTCTCCCTCCGACTTCATGGTCTACGTGTTGAGGTTGACCCAGCACCAACGCACACATCTTGAATGTTAATCCATTTTATACAGAAGTCAGCCAAAGTTCTCTCAGGAGACATCTTGGCTCAGCTCGTGGTGTCTGGTGGGGAATGTGCTCAGCCCACTTGTGAAAACTCACGTTGACTACACCTGGGGAGCCCCAGAATTGAATCATGGCAAAAGCGTTCCAAAGTAGAGCAAATAAAATCCCTTTTCATAATAAGCAGGAAGGAAGAGAAAAAAAGTTTTACCCTCAGCAACTTAGCGAGGCCTTGTCTCAAAATAAAAGGGGCTGGGGATGTTGCTAAGTGGTGAACGCCCCCAAGTTCAATCCAATATCCAGTGCGCGCATGCACGTGCGCATACACACACACACRCACAAACATACACAATTTTACAAAGCATAGTTTATGATGTCCTTAAATTGACTGTCTTTRTAAGATGGTATCTAGCTTTATATGCCACATCCATTATTTCATTTGATCACTTCAGCAAGGTCATGACACACACTGACCTGAGTCACCACTGTTTGACAGATTAGGAAGCTAAGACTTGTCTTTTGAAGGCGTTCCCATATTTCAGTGCCAGGAACCTAAGTCCTCTCGCTGCCTCCTCCTTTTCCTGGCATGTGGTGGGTACCGGGGCTGGTCCAGCCTCTCCCAGCCTCGATGCTCAGGCCTGACCTTCAAAGCCTCAAACCCTTTTTTGGGACCTAGTGATGTGTCAGCCATGTGGGTGTCACTGAGTGCACATCCGTCTTCAGTGTGGACGCTGTTCTTCCCTCTCCTGGGCACCCATCCTATCCTTTTCTTCTGCAGACAAGACAGAGGACGATGTGGAGAGGGAAGCTCGGCTGGTGGAGCAGTGGGTGGGGCTGACGGAGGAAAGGAACGCTGTGCTGGTGCCTGCCCCGGGCAGTGGGATCCCCGGCGCCCCGGCTGACTGGTGAGGCCCCCTGCCTTCTGTGCCCTGGGGGTGGGTGTCCACTGCCTGTGGCAAGAGCCATGTCCACGGCTTTCTAGGATTATCACAGTGAATGGCAAGGAACTGAGCTGTCAGGGAAGGGCCACCCAACCCTAGTGCTCTCTCCCACTGCAGCCAGCCTCCTCCTGCAGGAAGCCAGAGAGATTGCTGACCCTCCAAGAATCCAGTGCCACTCCTGTATTCCTCTGAAGGAGAACTTGGACTCTGTTCTCTAGGAATCCTATCATGTTGGCTAAAGAGAATATTCCCAGAGTGTAGAGGGTAGTTTTTTGGGTTTTGTTGTTGGTGGTAGTGCTGGGAATCAGATCCAGATCAGTTTACCACTGAGCTATATCCCTGGCCCATTTTGTGAATTTTATTTTTGAAATAGGATCTTGCTAATTTTCTCAGGCTGGCCTCAAATTTGCGATCCTCCTGCCTCAGCCTCTCTGAGTCATTGGCTGAGATTACCCAGGTGTGCCACTGTACCCAGCCTTTTTTGTTGGTTTGGTTTGGTTTTTGGGGTGCTGAGGATTGAACCCGGGGCCTGGTGCATGTTAGGCAAGATCTCTGACACTGAGTGACATCCACGACCCTGTTTGTTCTTATTTTCCCTAGTATGTGTTATTTTGGTAACTAGCAAAGAGTAAGCACTTAAGCCTACGTCGTCAGTCAATCACTTGATTGATAATCAATGCTTGGTATGCTCCTGAGAAACAGCCTGGTACCCAAAGCTCTGGAGTGAAATAGTTTGGGATTTAGTTCTTGGTTTTAGCTCTTCAGTGTGTGTGTGTGTGTGTGTGTGTGGGTGTGTGGGTGTGTGTGGGTGTGTGGGTGTGTGTGGTGTTGGGAGAAGGCACGTTAAACACCTTGCTTATCTTCACATAGCCTTCCTTGTAGATTACGATGTACATAAAATAGCTGCACCACCATTCGGTACATGGTAGGGCTGCTGCTTGCTCTCATTCTCTAATTACAAAAATATGCCCTTGAGACTGATTCCCTTTGAATGCAAAATGTGCATGCCCAGATAGTTTAATTTGGACACACTTAGCAACCCTCGTGATATCGTCTGCGTGTCTGTGGATGCATGGAGCTGTAACCAGTTCCATGGTTTGTTTTATGCGACTGGAGAACTGAGTCTGCAAGTGCATGACTTGTGACTGGTCGTCTCTCCCTTGGGTTCCKCCTGGTGCTGGAATCCCGTTCCCCGCCGTCTCTGCTGGCCCCTTGGGGGAACCAGCTCCTTCCCGACCTGATTGTTTCTCAGAGCCCTCTCTAGACCATCCTCCACCCTGGCAGGGTCTTCCCCATTTCACATGTTTTCAAACTTCAGAGCCACTTGAGTATCTGCAAASTGTGGTCCTGGATTGTGTCCCTCGTGTTCTAGGAGAGGCTTTGTCCTGCACCGAGGCCGCCTCCTTCACACGTCTCGCGTGGTCCTCCAGGCTCTTAGCTGTTGGCCCTTTTGTTCACGTCCTCTAGTTCCTCTAGCTCTGATCTATCTCATTACCACCACCTACACCCCTGTTCCTTCTCCCCATCACTAGAATGAGTTTTAGAAAGTCTTCAAATAACCTTTGTTTCAATATCTGGCGTCTCCTGCACATAAATCCTGTAGTCCCCAGGATTGGGTTGTAGGGAGGTGAGCGTGTAAAACTAGGCCAGCCACAGAACCTGCCTCTCCACAGGGCTTCTCTTCTGCTTCCATGACCCTGTTTTATAAACCAGCAAGATAGCAGACAGATACCTTATTGTTAAATTTTGTTATTAAATTTAGGATTCCACCTTCTGGAATGGAAACCCACATACCAGTTCTCTTCCTTGATTTGAATGGTAAGTTCCAGGAGCCGCCACATTTAATTAAAATTTGTCATGTATTCAGACTCACATTACTTCGATCTGTATATCACTTTTGTCATTGCTCATATGCCGTGTCTTGGTGACATTGTGGTCCATTCAAACGTATGTAAGCATGACAGATAGTATCACCGACGGAAAGATGTAGATATTTAATTTAAAAAATAAGAACAGTTAGGGACTGGAGACGTGGCTCAGTGGTAAAGCACTTGCCTTGTATGCATGAGGCTGTGGGTTTGATCCTTAGCAAAACACACACACACACACACACACACACACACACCCCACTTTAGGGATATTGAGAATTATGTACAAGAATATTAAAGCAGTTGTTCTGAAACGTTGATATTACTTCTGAAGCGTAGGATGGTTTCTGAGAAAGACCCATTTGCTGGTGAGAACACACACACACACACACACCCCACTTTAGGGATATTGAGAATTATGTACAAGAATATTAAAGCAGTTGTTCTGAAACGTTGATATTACTTCTGAAGCGTAGGATGGTTTCTGAGAAAGACCCATTTGCTGGTGAGAAAGTTCAGTTCCAAGTGGGGAGAGTTACCTGAGTCCCAGCGCTTCCAGCTGAACGTTATTCCTGTCTCTAGATAAATAAATTCAAGTACCCATTGGAGTTGACGGGAGTTACTTTTATTTTATTAAAAAAAATGGAACTATGAAATGTAAAACTCCCCCCCCCAATAAAAAGTCAAATGGTGCTACATAAGACATTTTTGTTTTTCTTAGGAAAAAGGAATTATATGGAAACTTCTTGAAGTTAAAGACAGATTAGGATCCATCATGTATTTGTTTGCTTGTTATAGATGAATACAATATCTTTATTTTATTTAATTTTTAAATTTTTTTTAGTTGTAGATGGACACAGTACCTTTATTTTATTTATTTATTTTTATTGGTGCTGAAGATCAAACTGAGCATGTCACACGTGCCAGGCAAGGGCTCTACCACTGAGCTACAACCCCAGCCCCTATTTATTTATTTTTATGTGGTGCTGAGGACTGAACCCAGTGCCTCACTCATGCTGGGCAAGCGCTCTACCACGGAGCTACAACCCCAATCCCCCATCATATCTTCTTAATAACTTAAAACCACTCATGCTACTTTTCTTCCAACCTTGGTCACATGGAAAACAGTCTTATGTGCTATATGACTCCACAAATAGATGACTAAGACTGTATGTAATACAGCCGCCTCTCATCTCAGGGAGGTGAATAGGATTCCATCACTGGGCTCAGACTATGCTGTTTGCTTTTACCATTCTTTCAACCAAATGTAGGTGTGCATTCACAGGGTCAGCTGCTGCATAATCTGCTCCTTTTGTAGAAGAATAAAAAAAAAAAATCTTAAAATAGCAAATGTCACAAGACTTTTGAGAAAGTCAATAACAGCTTCCTTCTCCAGGAGAAAAAWCCCTCCTTTCATCCAAAAATATGAATTTACACTTATAAAAATGTGTATTTGTAAAGAAACTGATRGTTTATCCCAATATGAAATCCATCTTCATGTCTTTATGCTTCTTTATCACATCAAAGGGTTAGCTACAAAACTGGATTTGTGTTTCTGTTCTATGAAGCTATAAGACGAACCAGGATTTTGAGATATATATGACTTTCACCCTTTTTTTCTTTTCAAGTTTCAACAAATGTTTGGAATTTACTGCTGTGGTCTAGTATGTGCTTATCATAATAGTGGCCGAAACTGGAAGACGTTTTGAAAAACCCTGAAGGTCATCCATTCTTGCCATGTATTTAGTCTTGTTGGAACAATAGGCAAAGAATTCACAAATACCACGACCTAAGCACCTGTTTCAAATTAAAATCAGCCTTCAGCTTGCAAAATAATTTTTTGATAATTAAGCAATTTGCAACAGAAGACCTATGTCAGTTTTTTTTTTCCCCCCTCCTGGAGAAGTCAGCAGATAACTGCATCCTAAGAGTTTCTGGTTGATCTGGAAGCTGGAACAAACCAAAAGCAGGCTTTTCCAAACCACAGAGGTGGCCCGTAGAAAGATATCCGCATTTCAGTGGGGAAAGTGGCTGATGGAAGAGGCAGTGGTACCTGCTCTAGGAATCTGCTCAGAGGTACCTGCCACGTCCCCAGTTCAGAATTTTGTTTTGAGATGAATATAAAAGCACCTAAATGTCATGAAAATGTTCTTCCTGTGTGATAAGGATCCTCACATGGTCCAGCAGATGCAATCAGCCTGCCGAGGTCCACCTGCCCCAGACCCACGGGCCAGACGGCCAGATGGCTGAGGTGCGCGCTCCTCACTCCGCGAGCCACATCCCCAGCCCTACTTTTTTTTTTTAATTTTGTTTAGAGACAGGGTCTCTCTGACTTGCTTAGCACCTCACTTTTGCTGAGGCTGGCTCTGAACTCTCAATCCTCCCACCTCAGCCTCCCAAGGTTCTGGGATTCCAGGCATGCACCACCCTGCCTGGCTAGAGTTGTATTTTTAAGGAATTAAAGCCATTGTGATCTTAGAGTATCTATTTCAATTTGAGGCTAGAGAATGAAAGAAAAAAAAATATGTCACATGTTAACATTTTCTATAATAAGTGTATTTTGGGGCTGGGAGTGTAGCTCAGTGGTAGCGTACTTGCCTAGTATGCACCGGCCTTGGGTTCAATCTCCAGCACCTCAAAAAGAAAAAAATATATATATGTTTTTGAATTTTGGTGATTGCTTAAAAACTATCTTTCCCCTACCTCTTTATCCTGTGCCTTAATCTTGAACTTGGTTAGCGGATGACCTCAGTGCCAACGAGCAGCTCGTGGGTCCACACGCATCGGGCGTGAACTCCATCCTGCCCAAGGAGCATGGCAGCCAGTTTTTCTACCTGCCCATTATAAAGCACAGCGATGATGAGGTAATTTATCCCCAGGTCTGTTGGAGGCCTCTGATTAGCACTCAGTGGGGGACGGGGGGTCTTCCTGATAAGCCCTTCTGGTCTGCTTTGGGGAGGAGGAGCAGGGACTTCAAAAAATAGACCATTTGTGTTGTTCCCAATAGGTGAGGAAAGAAGTCTGTCTGACTAGGTCGAGTTGAACTTATTCCCATCTCGCCATGTTTTCCCTCCCTCCTAGGTCTCCGCTACCGCCTCTTGGGACTCCTCAGTACACGACTCTGTTCACTTGAACAGGGTCACACCGCAGAATGAGAGGATTTACCTGATTGTGAAGACCACTGTCCAGCTCAGCCACCCGGCTGCCATGGAGTTGGTATTAAGGAAACGGATTGCAGCCAACATTTACAACAAACAGGTAGCAACAGAGGCACTCTGCTGTGTCTCCCAGGTCCCAGTCTTCCTTCTGTCCCAGTCCTGTCTCACGGTGTGAATACAGGGAAAGTGCAGAATGTGGCCACCCTGGCCAGGTTAGAGCCTGACTGTCATTTCTCCAGGATCACTGGGCGCCAGGCCCTCAGAGGTCAATGTCCTCCCCAGAACACTTGGCCACCTTGGCTGAGAGGAAACCCGTCATCCTGGCAATGACATTGTATGGTTTGAAAAGTAGAAACATAGACTAAGAGGTTAAGTCTCAGGCCCAGTCAGGTTAGTAACAAAACCAGGACAAAACAGACTGCAAATGAGTCCCTGTGCAATCACTTGGCTGCTGGCAAAACTCACCCCCCTGGGGTTCTGGAAAGTCTGATGAAAGGGAGAGGCTACATGGAGTTAGCAGAGGGGAGGGGAATACCACCACAGAGACTCTGTGCTGCACCCTCCGCAATGCAGTCTCCAAGTCACTCCGGGATGTTGTTGTCCCTCAGAAGTATAGACAGGATATTTAAGTTTATAGGGTTTTCCTTTTTTCCTGTTTTTCGGAATATTGTGTGTATATATCAGAAACGTACGTATTCATAATGCATTTACAGTTGGTAAAATATTGAACCTGTATTTGTTACACAGTTTAATCTATCCTTTTCTTTTCCGCCAGAGTTTTACACAGAGTTTGAAGAGGAGAATATCATTGAAAAATATATTTTATTCCTGTGGTGTAACCTATGAAATAGTCTCCAACATACCAAAGGTACAATTTATATTATTTAAAAACAATTTATTATTATTATTATTATTTATTTTTGCAATGCTGGGGATCCATCTCAGGGCCTAGTACATAGTAACTAAGCAAGAACTCTGTCACTGAGCCACATCCTCAGCCCTATTTTGTATTTTATTTAGAGACAGGGTCTCAGTGAGTTGCTTAGCACCTTACTATTGCTGAGGCTGGCTTTGAACTTGAGATCCTCCTGCCTCAGCCTCCTGAGCTTCTGGGAGTACCGCAGTTGGTCTCACCACACTTTTGATGAAAACGTTGTCCACGTGAGTACTGTCTTTTCTTTCCTCTCTCCTTAGGCAACCGAGGAGATCGAGGACCGGGAAACCTTGGCTCTCCTGGCAGCCCGGAGTGAAAATGAGGGCACGTCCGATGGAGAGACATACATCGAGAAGTACACACGGGGCGTTCTGCAGGTGGAGAACATTCTGAGCCTTGAACGGCTTCGGCAGGCGAGTATCTGAATAGCTGGACTGCARGAAGTCACTAGCCTTCACCCCAGGGAGCAGGGACCAATTTGTAACCAAGCACCTGTCTAAATCTATCAGAGAAGGAGCAGTCATGTGGCAAATGTCCTTACTGAAAGGACTTGGACAAAATAGTGTCCCAAGTAAAGATAATGCGAACTTTCATCGAATACTTCCAATCTGCCAAGCACTGTGCCGGAATATAATTTAGATACTGTTCTCTRGTGGCTTTTTCATCACTGTGACCAAAATCCTGACAAGAACAATTTTAGAGGAGGAAAACCTTTATTTGAGGAGCTCATGGTTTCAAAGGTCTCCGTCCTCAGATGGCCAACTCCATTGTGCTGGGCCCACAGTAAAGCAGCACATCATAGCGGAAGGGTGTGGAGGAGGTAAGCAGCTCAGGACGTGGTACTCTGGTTTGCCAGAGACAAATGTAAATCCCAAAGGCACACCCCACCCACCCACCTCCTCCACCCACACCTAACCCGCCTACAGTTACCACTAGTTAATCCATTCAAGTGGTTTGATGCAGTGATTCGCTTAAGGTTCTCCTAACCCAGTCATTTCACCTCTAAACTTTTTTGCATGCTCCACACATGAGCTTTTAGGGATCACCTCATATCTAAACCATYAGGGATACGTTGTTTCATTGTCAAAGGTAAAACTGTTGTAATTCCCATTTTTAAATGAAGAAATCGAGTCTGAGAAAAGTCAGCTTCCTTGCCACAGATTTCACAGCGACTTAGGAAAGGGCACAAAGTCAGATGTAAACCCCAAGCAGCTGGATTCCAGAGTCCATATGTTTAACCACATGCTGCCACTCTCTGCCTAATTCTGAGACCCAAGTTAATTTTTGAGGTAACAGCGGAGACATTCAAGCAAAAGTGGTTCACTCTGTATTGGAACTGTAAAACCAGGTGTATGTCCTGTGTTGACCGCACAGGAGCAAGTGGTTGGCAATATGGAAAGTCTGTGTTGAGCAAAGCAGCAGGAGAAACCACACTGGCACCTGTCAGGATCATCTTCCTTTAGTAGAAACCTAATTGCTACCTGAGTGAAACATAAATAGCATAAAACTTCTTTGTTGTTTTGCAAGTGAAACATACAGCTAAAGATATCTTCTCATTTCCTCATTTTCTCTGCGCACTCCTCTGTCACTTGTGTGAAAACATTCACAGTTGAAATGTATTTTGCCCAGCATTTTTTCTGTTTTTTTTTTTTTAATGTTTTCAACGAAACTGTGCAAATAAAGAAAAAAGCAGGCACAGCAAAATTGCAGTTTTGTAAATGTGGATTTGTGCGCATGTGTGATCCATATTAGCAAAGTGATCTTTTCATCTGTGTTTTCTAAATCTTCTACAAATACATGTGTTCCTTTAATAATGAGATGAGACATTCGTGAACGTTGTCTTTAAATTATACGTCGACAGGCCGTCACGGTCAAAGAGGCACTTTCCACCAGRGCCCGGCACATCCGGAGGAGCCTCAGCACACCGAATGTTCACAATGTAAGCTCGCCCTGGCGGGGACCGGCTTCCTGCGTGACCTGCCTCAGGATTTGGGTGGGGGCCTCAGGGATGGGAGGCTGGGGCTGGCACAGTGGGACTGTCACTCCTGGCATGGGAGCACCTCCCCCAGAGTGCTGAGCCTGCTTCTCTGTACCAGGGACACAGCAGAGAGCCAGGCTCAACGTATCCTTGCTTCTCAGTTCCTAGTCTTTCTTTTGACTGTTTTGATCATCTTTCTCAACCAATTCCCCTAGAAAATTCAGTCGACAGAAATTGCCTCTGGCAGAGGGGACACTGTCATGGGAATAAAGGACAGATGAGTGCATGGACCAGTTTCAAAGCTTTCTCTTCCCAGAAGCAGCAGAGTAGAAGTGAGAGCCTCCCAAGGAAAAGCACAGGATTATTTGCCTTCCCTCTCTCCAGAATTACCAGAAAACTATTAAACCATGGTGAAGGTTTGCAAAGTTGTCTTACAGCACACAGAGGAAATCACAACAGAGAGCAGTAAGCTCTGTCCCAGGCGTTGCCTCTGACCACAGTGCAGGCCCTAGGACAGATAATAAGACTCAGACAGCTGTAATAGAGGAAACTCGGTCCTGCTGCATAATGAACCCGAGAAGAAATCAGGATAGAAATCAGGAAGTATTTACAACTAAATGATAATAAAAACAGGCATATGTTGATATTGTAGGATGCAGTTCAAGTGGTATTTAAATGGAAATGATGAGCCCTAAATTCCCTGTTCTTCTTATTTATACATAAAATACTAGACAGTAGGGCTGGGATTGTGGCTCAGTGATAGAATGCTCGCCTCGCTTATGTGAGGCACTGGGTTTGATTCTCAGCGCCACACATAAATAAATGAATAAAATAAAGGTCCATCGACAACTAAAAAAAGAAATATTTTAAAAAATACTAGACAATAGATAAAATGAAAGAGTGAGAGTTATTAGGAAATTTATGGTTCTTACRTTAAAACTGGAGGAGCGGGGAGGGGGAGGTTGGTATGGTAGTGTGTACCTGAAGTCCCACCTACTCAGGAGGCTGAAGTGGGGGGAGGGGGTCTCTTAAGCCCAAGAGTTCGGGACCAGCAACATATTAAGCCCTATTTCAGAAAGGGGGAAGGGGGGTAAACGGGCTGGGGGATGTAGCTCAGTGATAGAGTGTGTGATTGACATGTGTAAGGTTCAGGATTCAGTCTCTAACACCAAAACAAAACAAAAAACACGAAATAATCTAAATGTCTTTCTTTCTTTTTTTCTTTACACCTTAACCTAATCAAGACTCCAGGTCTAACCAGGCACAGTGGTGCATGCCTATAATCCCAGCAGCCTGGGAGGCTGAGACAGGAGAATCGAGAATTCAAAGCCAGCCTCAGCAACRGCAAAGGCACTAAGCAACTCAGTGAGACCCTGTCTCTAAATAAAATACAAAATAGGGCTGGGGATGGGCTCAGTGGTTGAGTGCCCTTGAGTTCAATCCCTGCCCCCCCCCCGGCCCAACCCCCCCCCCCAAAAAAAAAGACTCCAGGTCTAGCTACTAACTTTCAAAGAACACAGATGAAAGTGTTAAATACCACCACAGAAATTCAATTAGCAAAATCCGGACTATGGGAAACTACAGGGGAAATGACCTAATTTTTTTAAACAAATTAAATTGTTTTAAAAACAGATAAAACTCCAAAAAAAATTAATTTTAGGAAAAGGGAGAACTCGTAGATTTAAAGACACTGAAATATATCAGTCAATTGCAATGTATGAATTACTTTGGTTCAGATCCAAAATAAATTAATTGTGAAAATGTTTACGAGACATTTGAACATGACTGTATATTTGATAGTATCTATGAATCACCTAAGTTGTATAGAAATGATAATGTATTGTGGTTATGGTTTTTTAAAAAGGCGAGGGGAAGAGTTCCTTATATTCTACAGATTTATAGATAAGACAGGTGCAGTGGCACACACCTATAATCCCAGCCCGAGGGAGGAGGATCACAACTTCAAATCCAGCCTGGACAACTTAGCGAGGCCCTATCTCAAAAAATAAAAAGGACTGGGGATGTAAGTCAGTGGTAGAGTGCCCTGGGGTTCATTCCCCAGTATCACAAAATAAAAATAATAATATTAAATTGAAAAGGGCTGGTAAAGTAGCTCCATAGTAAAGCACCCCTGGGTTCAATACCCCGTCCTGCAAAAAATAAAAATAATAGGCAAAGAGTTATAGATACAGTTTATTTTAAGTTAGAAAAAAGAAAACCAGAATCATTTAAGTAAGGAAGGAAATAAATATGAGAACAGAAAAATAACATATTCAAATAATATTAGAACAAACTTAAGAAAAATAAAGAATCAGCAAAACTGAAAAGCAGGTTGTTTAAAAAGTCTGGTCACATGGACTGGCTTTTTAAAAAAGATTCATTGGGGAGGAAAAGAAAATATGAGAAAAGATACAAATATTAGAAATGAGAAGATGGATTTTTGTTTTTCAGTCAGTATTGGGAATTGAACCCAGAAGTGTTCTACCACCGAACTACATCCCCAGCCCTTTTTATTTTTTATTTTGAGGCAGGGTCTCACTAAGTTGCCCAGGTGGGCCTCAAATTTGCAATCCTCCTGTCTCATCCTCCTGAGTAGCTGAGATTATAAGCATGCACCACCATGCCTGGCTATGGGGTGTTTTCATCAGAGTTCTAATAGAAAAAAGTTAGAAGCAGCCTCAATATCCGTTAACAGGAGAATGGAACAAAATAATCCATCACGCTGTGTAAGACCAAGTGTAGTAAGACAACACTTACATGAAGTACAAAAATATGGAAAATGGGCGTGGTAGAGCACTTGCCTGGCACACAGGAGGCCCTGGGTTCCATCTCCAGCAGTGGGGGGCTGGGGTGGGGACTACAGAGATACTGATTATTGCTTTTTTCCCCCTTTATCTTTACTAGGAATTGAACCCAAGAGCACTGCACCACTGAGTTACATCCTCAGCCCTTTTTACTTTTTATCTTGAGTACTACGTTTCTGAGGGGTCTCACTAAGATCCTGAGGCTGGCCTCGAACTTGCAATCCTCCTCCCTCGGTTCCCTGAGTTGGTGGCATTACAGTTTTGTGCCACTGCACCTGGCTGCTATTCATTGTTTATCTGTGTATGCACATGTAATTACACAACATAGGTGTGGAAGTAACTTCTTATTGAGTGTAGTCATTATTCCTGGAGAGGGAAATGAAAGAAGAGAGAGGTCACACAGCATTCAGGACATCCGTGGTGTGACATTTCTTTCTATAAAAAGACAATTATAGGTGGGCATGGTGGTATATGCCTGTATCCCAATGGCTCAGGAGGCTGAGGTAGGAGGATCACAAGTTCAAGTTCGAAGCCAGCCTCAGTAACTTAGTGAGATCCTAACAACTTAGCAAGACCCTGTCTCAAAATTTTTAAAAAAGGGGGGTGGGGGGTGGCAGGGGYTGGGGATGTAGCTCAGTGGTTAAATGCCCCTGAGTTCAATTCCTGTTGACAAAAAGAAAAACAACAACAACAAAAAGATTATACCTGGGCATGGTGACTAACACCTGTAATCCCAGCAATTCAGGAGCAGAAGGATTGCAAGTTCTAAGCCAGCTTCACTTTTTGAGACCCTGAGCAACTTAGCAAACCCTATCTGGAAATAAAAAATAAAAAGGGCTGGGGATGTAGCTCAGTGGTTAAGTTCCCCTGGATTCAATTCCTGGCACATAATTCTAATTTATTTATTTATTTTAAAAATATTATTTTTAAAAAAATATATGTATGTAAAAATAGACAATTATGTTAACTATATGAGCCACGTTTATAAAAACTACTTATCTCTTATAGGTCTCCTCTAGTCGACCAGACCTTTCTGGCTTCGAYGAAGATGACAAGGTATGCATCTGTGRGCGTTGCTGGGTCAGTAGCAGGATCCAAGCTCTTGAGAACATAACTGGTATTCATACTTTCTGATTATGTCCTCAAGAAATCCAGAGTCTATTCCTCAGAGGTAGCCCACTCCTAAGAAGTTGAAATCGGGTAGATAAGCTCAAACAACATGTAAGTTTTCTCCCTTAGTACACCACTTAGTACACTTAGTGCACCTTGAGTCTCAGGTATACATGAAGTCAGCACACCACCTAGTTTGCCGGGTTCAGTGCTAACTTGGGCTACTACCAGGCAGAATTGTCAATGGAACCGTTTTACTCTCAAGTGTGTAGGGCTCGTCCTYGCACCATCCAGTCACCACAGATGTAGGCCAGACTGATAGAAAGGGCTGCCTGTGAGAGGGGTTCACAAGTGGATGTCACTGTGTTTGTAAGTCCTACGGAAATACAATAAAATCAACATGTTTTACTCTGGGGTATGATACCTTGGGTTTGATGGTGTTTGTTATATCGAGCGCTTTTATCTCTGTTTGAAATACGTCATAATAAAAGAGCACATAACTGCCTTTAAACATAGGAGAAACTCAAATCTAGGCTTCTTTCTCCTCCTTTTGGAGTGACTGCCTCACAGTGAGCCTGTACTTTTACCTTGTAGGGTTGGCCAGAGAGCCAGTTAGACATGTCTGACTACAGCTCCAGTTACCAAGATGTGGCGTGCTACGGAACCTTACCCAGGGATTCACCTCGGAGGAGCAAAGAAGGTAGTGGTCGCATGGTTTTGCGGTGACGCTTCTTTTTAATTACTTGGGAACAGCATACACCGTCTTCCACGGCTATCACCTAATGACCTACAAAGCTTAGATTCTTGTTGGCTAGATGAACCAAAGTATGCTCGTGGATGGAAGCCATCTGTCCTCTTACTGGATTTCCATTTTGCTTTCCATTCACCATATCCAAATAATAATAGTAGCATGCTTTTTGTGTATTGCATATCACTTCAGATTTTTCAAATCTCTTCTTTCTTTTTGGTGTTCCTAAAGGGATTGTGTATATGTGTTACTGGGGACTGAACCCAGTGGCACTCTACTACTGAACTACATCCCCAGCCATTTTTATTTTTAGATAAGAGCTTGCTAAGTTGCTTGGGTTGGCCTCAAGGTTGTCATCCTCCTGCCTAAGCCTCCTGAATAACTGAGGTTACAGGTGTATACCACTATGCTTGAATCAAAGGAGTTCTTGTTTTTATTTTATTGTATGTATGTATGTATGTATTTTCCAGGGCTGGGCTCAAACCCTGGACTTCACACATTCTAGGCAAGTTTTCTACCACTGAGCTCCATTCCCAGCTTAAAGGAGTTTTTTAAGAGAATACGATTGGGCTGGGCACAATGCCTCTAATCCTTGAGAGGCCTTGGTAACTTAATAAGACCCTGTTTCAAAATAAAATTAAAAAAAAAAAAAAGAAGTTCTGGGGATGTGTGTAGCTCAGTCATAGGACACTTACCTAGCATGCTTGAGGCCCTGGATTCAATCCCCAGCACAAAAGAAGGGGCGTGGATTATGACTGATTCCTAAAGTCCAAAAATGATCAAAAGTCAATTTGATCAGTGGCAATATATTACCTTCACTTTTAGTCCTCCCAGTGCCTTAAAGAAAACAGTGTTCTCTAGGAAGTATCAATCATCTGTTACTTTATARTTTATATTTTACTTACTAAGTGTCATTGTGCTAAGAATAGGGAAGAAATTATGGAAGGGGGAAAGAGGCTGCGAACAAGGTAACATGAGAGAACAAGCAAGAGTTACCTTTCTTTAGCGGTATGGGGCTGGGTAGCCTGGGGCAGAAAGGCACAGGCAGTCCACCTTCACTGAGCACAGTCATTCATTGAGCATACTTATTGAACCTCTATTTGCTCTCTAAAAATATAACCATGGGGCTGGGGCTGGGGCCCAGTGGCAGAGCGCTTGCCTAGGAGTGAGGCTCTGGGTTCAATTCTCAGCACCACATGAAAATAAAAATAAACAAAATAAAGATATTTTAAAAATGTAACCATGGAAATAAGATATATAACAAAACATTCAGTGTTAAAGTGCAAATGTGCATGTAGAGATGACAAGGGCCTGAGGACTCAGAGGTGGGAAGTCCATGAGCTGAGATTGTTCTGCTCAGTGGTACTTAAAGCTGGGTCATGGAAAGAAGGTAGAACATTTTGTTTCCARTTTCTCTCGCACTGCCCAGCCCTTTGGTAACTCTGTGATTTTATAGATTTATCCCTGTTCTTGCCTATGTCCATGTTAATGCTCAACCAGATAGTCATGTCTTCGTGTCGTCATTACACCACGTGGTCCTCTGGCGAGGTTTTCGCCTCCCTTCCTGGGTGCCTGTGAACACACCCTGTGGCTGTAAACTCATGCCATTTGTCTTCCGCAGGTTGTGCCTCGGAGAATCCTCATGCCTTAACAGTGAGCCCTTTTAAAGCATTCTCTCCTCAACCACCAAAGTTTTTCAAGCCCCTGATGCCTGTCAAAGAGGAGCATAAAAAAAGGACGGCTCTTGAAGCAAGACCTCTTCTAAGCCAAGAGGTAAATGCTTGACTTGTCTGAACCGTGCAAATCAGAGTGGTGTCACCCCGTCTCGGGGAAACAGCAGTTTGCATTCACAAGTCGGACGCTGCATGTGGACACGCATGGGTTATTTCTCAGTGGTTCTGTTCTTAGGTACCTCTTTCCTCAAACACACAGGGCTGTGGTAGGCTATTTTTTTTTCAATTGTTAATTGTTGTGGTTTTACATCTCTGTGTTGATGGCTTTTCCAAGTAATTTTCTTCTTTCAAGTGAGAAAAAGATGTCCCCTAGGCCTTTTGAAAATATTAAAAGCTTTTACTTATTCAGTTTTTAATAAAACTAATGGTGCTTTCTGCCACTGAATCTGTGTAGTCCTGTCAGATTTCACCAGTAGTTTAACTCTGCAGAATCGGCTGCTGCGTTGCTCACGTGTAATCTAGGCATTGGCATTGCTTTTCTAACGTGCATGTACTCACTATGTATTTCGCTGTCGTCGTCCTTTGTGTGTGATGCGTCTGTGTGTCTTAACCTTTGCAGAGCATGCCTCCATCTCAGGCACTTAACCCTGGCTGCATTGTCCCCCCTGGAAGCAATGGCAGCAGCATGCCCGTAGATCACCATAGCAAGAAGAAGATTGTAAGTTCTGGAACCATTTCTGTCATATTGCCTGGTGGTGGGTGTAAAGCCCTTTCACAGATYGTCTTACAAAAGCTTTCCAAGAAATTAAGACGTGATAAATCTTTGTTTTTTTTCCTTTTTTTTTTTTAAAGTGGTCCTTGGTAATGAAATTTTGTGTACTTGTGGACATGACCTATTCTTTTTTTTCTAAGTTTTCCTTCTATTTTATTTATTTCTTTTTGCTTTGGATAGGTTTGCTTTAAAAATGGGAGAAAGACGCCTTTGATGATTCTGGTCTTTACTTAAAAAAAAAAAAAAAAAACCCACAAAGTAATAGTGATCACTTTAATTAAAACCGAAACCTTTTTAATGTGCCTGTACGTATTACCCAGATCCTGAAGTTAATCTACCTAGAGGAATTGCACTTACTTGGAGTAAGTAACCATGCATTTAGCCATGGGTGTGTTTGGAAGCCTCTTTGTGTGGCCTGAGCTCCTGCCAAGGTGATTCTGTAGTTTGTAGCTGCTCTGTGGTCCCTCATCCTCCCGTACGCATCATCCTCATCGCTCTTGTGCAAGTAGCCTTTGTTAATTAGCTGGCAGAATATGGTCTAACTCCCTTGTTCTCAGCCTTGCTTTCAAGATGGCTTACCTATGTTTACACAGGTAGGTTGAAACTCTTGCTACCGAACCTCATTCCCCAGCCATTGATTTTAAAATTATGCATTTGAGAGAATTTTTTTTAAGTGGTGTCCTACCAGACACTTCAGATTCTAAATTACTACCTCAATTAAAAATATTTGAAAACCCATATATTCTGAAGTCTGGAAAGAATTCCCTAATCCTGTCCCAGCTTCCTCTCTCCTGTGGCTTCCCAGACTTGAGAGGAGTAAAGCCAGCTGGGGGCAGGAGGAGGCTGTGCTGCTGATGGCTGCCTGTGATCCGCTTTGCGGGGCCGAGTCGGGGGGCAGGGGGTCTCCTCTCCCAGCTATTCCACTTCAGGCCCATTCCAAAGCTTCATTAGTGTGATCCTTTAATAGTTCCAAAATATGCTGCTATCGCACCCTGCAGAAGTAACCCCAGCTTGACCCGGGCGTGCAGCAGGCCACTCCTTGCTTGCTTGGATCTTAGGAAATGACTTCCTCATTCCTCACATAAAGAAGAAATGCACCCTTTTCCCTTCATTTCTGTTGGCCTCCTCTGTCCCTCTATCCCAAAGACCCTATCTTAGTTCCTTATGGAGAAAAGGACACATAGCAGCAGCTGCTCCTTCATCTCTGCGAATTTTAATGAACTCTCCAGCCACTTTCCTGGCCACCCCCTGCCCAATTAACAAGGGCTAAAAGGGCCACATGGCTGTGCCGTTTCCCCTCGGACTCTCTGGCGCCCTGTCTGCATGGATCTTTGTGGACATCACTGGACTGCACAGGCACACGATTCAAACCTATGGTGATGCTCTGCTGTGGTACAATACCATCAAGTGACTGTTGAGTGAGTCTCTAGAACTGCCCCACGGGCGGTTTTGCTATTGATGGCTTGCCTCAGTTGTTTTCTTCACTTTGTTTTAAATATCTTAAAACCACTCGGCTGGGAGAGCGTGGGACAGAACCAGATTCTCTCCACCCAGGAAATCTCAAGCAGCGATTAGACTCCGACCGAATGCAGCCTGAAGTGTGCCACGTGGGTCGAATGGGGCCATTTTCCTGCCAGGTTCTGATGACAGCTACTCCATTGTCATCCCTTGAGGCTCCTGCCCAGTTTTTTCCAGATAGTAGTTTTCCAGGATATTTTGATAGAACTTCAGTATGTGGCTTGTTTGATCAGAGGTTTCAGTTTCTCTTTAGGAAACTATTCCTTCTCTTATCTGCCTTTGATCCTACTTCACTTTCTTTTCTCTTCCACTCTTGAAAAATCAGAGCATGAATCATGGTTCAGACTGATGGAGGAAAATTGCAGTTATTCTTGAAAAGTACTATCAAAACACTATTCCTGTTATTTTTTTTAAACCCACTGAATTACCAAAGGAATTTCTGTAATTACAGAAAATATAATGAAACTATGGCATATATTGCTGTGCTTYACATTTAAAGCCACACTTTGTTGTCTCATAATTTGGGAAGATATACAGGTGTTTTTCCTATTTTGTGTAAATTAAGATAAAGGCAATAGAGTGACCATATGACCCATCTCTGAGGCCTTGTATGGACAAGGTGTGGTTTATTTCTTTCATTTATAAGAAGAAACAAAGGTCTAGAATTATTAACCGACTTGCCCAAGGTCTACAGCTAATGATAGTGTAAGACAAACAACCCCTCATCCTTCAGCAAGATTGGGCTGACTGTACTGATTCCGCATGCTCCCCAGAGTGCAGTGTGATAGCCAGCCGGCCAGCCCACAGTACCATGGACAGAAGTACCGAGAGCCCTTGGCAGATACAATCCTGAAAGCCRACTGTCTGGAGGCCTGCACAGGCTTGATTATAGTCGGAGTGGAAGTCACACTCATCGAGTGAGACTCGTTGCAGAGAGTCACTGTTTTAATGTGGGTTGTGACCCCTTTTTAAAATCAAGGTGTTTTGTCTATAGGTAAATATGAGCTGCCTAAGTTAAATCGCAAAAATCAAATCATGGAAGACTGTAGCTATAGAGAAGCTTGAGAACTTGACTTCATGCTCCACTTTTAGGTAGGGTTTTCATCCTTTTTGCCTAAAGACACTGTAGGAAGGTGCTTAGTGTAGTCTCCTGTAAGATAGAATGATAACAATGAGTCTTCTGGTATGAAAAGTCTATTTAACCAAACTCCCTCAAAACATTCATTTTAAGCTATTGAAGTCCTCTTATTTTTTTTTTCCTTCCTTGAAGACAATAATTCCATAACCTTTCAGTCTCCTCTATGTTTAGAAAGTGTCTGATCTCTACTCCGCTTTCTTTTCCTGGAATAAGTTGTCCCTGCTCCTTTAGCTTGTCCCTGTGGGCCCCTGAGGCCCTTTCCCTCCCTAAGTATATCACTGCAGACTGCTTCCTATTTGAACTTAAATCTCTTTAGATTCTTTGATTTTACTAAGATCATGCAAGATCCTTTAGGAAGAGATTTTCATCTTTGTGAGTCTGATAAATTGATACCTATTTCTACTTGTTAAACTCATGGTTGCATATTTCATTCAGCAGAATTGTATTTTAGGATAACGTGCCTTTCCTAGTCTTGAGAAGAAATAACCTCCAGGCATAAAACGGGCCCCAAGTTACTCATTCTCATCTACAAATTAGTTTTTCTTTGCAAGAGGTAATCTTTTTAGTAATTAGTTGCATCAGGTACTTTAGGGCTTGGAGGATTGTGTTTCTGTGCCAGCTAAGATTAAAGGAGGTATAAGATACAAACACTTGAAATTCAATTTTGAGTCTAAACATGACAAGCAGAGATGTCAAGATCATTGTATTGTCATGAGCAACTAATAAAAAAAAAAAGCAAAAAAGAAAATACAGGCAGGCCCTACTGAATTACACGATTCCGACCAATATTCCTTTGCCAATATTCCCCCTAAATAATTCTCCAATCCACTCACTTTACCAGTGCTATTTAACTTAGAAAGCAGCTAAAGATAAGATGCTGAGAAGTTAGTGTTGGCAAGGTTTTTGTTTTGCTGATTTCAGGAACTTTATGACTGCTGTTTGATATTTACTTTTTAATGGCCAAGGAATTAAGGCTACTGATTTCTTTAGCTAATTTATAGTCAAAAAACTTTTCATTTTCTTCTTTTTTTTTTTTTTTTTTCCTTTTTTGGTGCTAGAGATTGAACTTCGGGCCTTGTACATCTAAGCACATGCTCTACCACTAAGCCTCATCCCCAGCCCTCAAATACATTTTAAATACTGTTCTAAAAGCTAAATGAAGGCTGAGGGTGTAGTTCAGTGGTAGAGCACTTGCCTAGCATGTGTGCAGCCCCTGGGTTCAATCCCCAGCACTGCAATAAAGTAAAATAACATAAAAATGAATAAATAAAAACTAAATTATTTTTTAAACTAAGAGCATTGAAGAGTACTGAACTATTTTTGAAGTGTCTAGCATCTTCTGTGATACAAAAGAAAATATTACCATGAAATTCAACAGAGGAAATTTCCGTTCATTTGTGAACCACCTGCCACGGTACAATGGTCTATCTTTCTTGCACATTCTTAGATAAGCCTTTTTCTCTGCCTCTGTCTCTCTCTTGATCTCTCTCTTAAAATGTAACCTTAATGATTAAAGCTGATATTTGGTTGTAGGTTTTTACAGTCACCCTGTTGTTATAACAGAGGTCTCTTTTTTTTTTTTTTTTCTTTTTTATTACTGGGGATTGAACCCAGGTGCATTATACCATTGAGCCACATCCCCAGTCCTCTTTATTTTTTATTTTGAGACAGGGTCTCACCAGGTTGCTCAAGGTCTCCGTAAGTGGTTGAGGCTGGCCTTGAACTTATAATCCTGCCTCAGCCTCCTGAGTTGCTGGGATTATAAATTTGTGCCACGACACCTGGCAGTCAGACATTTAAGATCTCTTATTAGGGCTAGAGTTGTAGCTCAATGGTAGAGTGCTTACCTCGCATGTATGAGGCACTGGGTTCAATTCTCAGCACCACATAAAAAATAAATAAATAAATAAAGGCATTGTGTCCATATACAACTAAAAATATATATTTAAAAAAATAAATATCTTGTTAAACCAGATGACCAATGTAAAAAAGCTACCTCTTTTTAAGGTTTATAAGTTCTATTTTGAATGAAGTTTTCATTCATCCAAGCAGAGTTCAGGGTTGTTCCAAGGGCAAGGACCAAAGTCATTGCTCCCTGAAGCAGGGAACACCACTGGTGCTCCCAGATCCTCAGGACAATGACGGGCACATAGGGGTGCTCAATGAATACTTCTTGAATGAAAATGACTTTTTGAAAGCACTATTTGTAGTGGCATCAATTGCTTATGAGGTTAATCAAAAAGGACTAGATAATATATTATTTCATTTGAATATGAAATTAGAATGTGTTTTACAACATTTTCTATCAAATTATGCATAATTATGAAATTATGCATTTATGACTTGGGAGTATAGTTCCCATGTGTGAGGTCCTGGGTTTCATCCCCAGCACCATCCAAAAATTAAAAGTCATTCATCTGGAGAGAGTCTGGGGAGATGATAACACCACTTTTCCATATTTGCAAACCAAATCTTCATTAAAACTACTTAATGAAAGAGATTTTCATCTAAACCTCAGTATCTATCCTCCTTGTTTTCTAGCCCAATCCTCCATCTGGGCTTCTCAGTGATCCTAGAAAACTGTAATTGATTGTTCATATTGTGGAATATTATATTATTTAGTGGATATTATACTATTTAGTGGAATACTGCATGTTTTTGCTCTTGGGGGGTCTCTATTTTACTGCCCTCTCTCCCTATAAAATAGCTCAGATTTTCACAAATGACTTGAGCCACCTGTACCTGGCTTCTCAAGGTAAGATTCTAAGACCAAAGCAAGGAGCAGCTCTTCCCTCTAGCTTTCCCTCTGCTGGTTTAATGAGAAAAAGAGGAAACATCACATCTGCTGTTAATCACGAGTAACTAATTAAGGGTCCACTGCCCTCGGTCCCATCCCTTAATCCAGGGAAGGAAAGATCTCCAAGTAGCATTGGGTGAGTAGGAAAAAAATAAATGGCTTCCTACTAGGTGATCATGGGTTCACAGGTCTCTGAGAAGAATAATATACTTTTGTATACAATAAGTGATAAGATTTGACCCACTTGGAAAGAAGGAAGAAAATATAAAACAGAACTGAAAATGGGACGGGGGGCCTTTAGTAGTGCTGAGCTTGTCTCGATGCCGCAGAGCTGCGGGGTGAGCTGCTGACTCTCGTTTCTGCAGGACTCCGAGGAGGAGGAGAACGAGCTGGAAGCTATGAGCAGGCAGCTGATGAACTCCCAGCCTTACGTCCCTGTGGAGTTTGCCGACTTCAGTGTTTACAACGCCAGCTTGGAGAACCGGGAATGGTTTTCTTCTAAAGGAGATCTGACCAACTCCCGGGTCCTGGAGAAAGAGGTGTCTCGCAGCCCTACCACCAGCAGTATTACCAGTGGCTACTTCTCCCACAGTGCCTCCAATGCCACCCTGTCGGACATGGTGGTCCCTACTAGTGACAGCTCAGACCAGCTAGCCGTTCAGACGAAGGATCCAGACTCCAGCGAACATTCCGGACCGTCACTTGGGCACGATTCCAGACTACCCTCAAACAGAGAGTTGCCAGAAGGAGAAGGAGGCTTGGGAAAGGAGAAGACAAACACGGTGCCACTCAAGGAACACAGTGCCTTAGCCAAAGCGAGCGCCCCCGAGAAAAGCTCCAGACTGCTGTGTAGGACTGGTTCATGGTCCGAGCCGGATGCCTGTCCCAGCAAAAACGGCCAAGCAGCCAAGGAGTTCTGCCCAAGGGAGGTGACAGTTGAACACACCACGAACATCCTCGAGGATCATTCTTTCACAGAGTTCATGGGTGCGTCCGATGGAAGAGACTTTGACGGTCCGACACATTCTTCTGCTGCAGAGGCCTCCAACAGGAGGAACCTACCAAATAAAACAGACAGTAAGAGTGTCCCAGAGGGGCCACGGGACACTGGCCAGCTGAATTCCAAGTTAGAGAATGACCAGGTAACACATTCCAGAGGCAGCTTTTTGGGTCCTGTGCTGTCAGTGAGCAGGGCGGATTGTACCCAGAGCTCCAGAGGCCCTTCCTTGCAGGGACCGGGTGGGAAAGAGTCGTCCTGATATTTCCAACAGGGGAGATGCCCACCGGGGAGCAGGCTCTCAACCTGTCCCGCTCACTCTGTGTGTCAGAGCAGGTTGGCTTTGGGAACCACAGTGAAACCATGAAATACATAGGACCGGTGGGTTTTTATTTTATTTAACTAGCRTATGAGTTGGTGTTAATTGAGCACCCAGGTGGATCAGGATCAATTCACCTCATATTCTTTCTCTGAGATGTTTAGCTATTAGCTCTTCAAAGTCATCTGGTAGCATCTATCCTATTTCATCAAATCTATGATTCCTTTGATTATTATATGATCTATTATTTTATATATCATTAAGAAGGGAAAATAGCCAAGTGCAGTGGCACTTAACCTATAATCCCAGCAGCTTGGGAGGCTGAGGCAGGARGATCGAAAGTTCAAATCCAGCCTCAGGAACTTAGTGGGGCACTTAGCAACTCAGCAAGACTTAATTTTAGTTTGAGCAAAACAACTCAGCACTTAGCAACTCAGTCTCTAAATAAAATATTTAAAAAGGCTGCAGATGTGGCTCAGYGGTTAAATACTCCTGGGTTCAATCCCCGGTATCAAAAAAAGAAAGAAAGAAAGAAACAGCCAGGTGCCAAGGTGGATACCTGTAATCCCTGCTACTTGGGATGCTAAATATGGAAAATCACAAGTTTGAGGCCAGCCTGAGCAATTTGTCTCAAAATAAAATGAAAAGGGCAAGGGATGTAGATAAGTTGAAGATGCCTATTTAACATGCCTATTTCCATCTCCGGCATCACAAAAAAAAAAGAAATGACTATCAGCAATTGCAAGACACACCCCAGTTTTAGACATGTTACAGTGGAAGGGGAAACATAGGTGGTGAAGAGTTGATAAAGTACAGTAATCTKGTACCCTTACGGGACTGTGCTTCATGGGGAAATACAGGCAGACTTCCTGAGCAATTAAAGTTTGGATGTTACCCAGATTGAAACAAAATAGATCTTTGCTAAGGAAAACATAACAAATCACATAAACAAGAGATCATCAGCCTTTAAGTGTTGTATTCCCAAGTACCACCCCTTCTTCCCATTCACATAACTTTGGGTAGGGGGGCCACTGGGGATTGAACTCGGGGGTACTTGAACTTGACCACTGAGCTACATCCCAGCCCTTTTTATTTTTTTTAGTTTGAGAAAAGATCTTGCTAAGTTGCTGAGGCTCATCTCAAACTATGATCCTCCCGTTTTAGTCTCCCAAATTGCTGGGATTATAGGCATGTGCCACCACGCCAGGTTTATTCTCATGACATTTTTGGCCCCATTCCCCTGTGAGCTATGAAGGAGCCCTGGYGGTACACAGAGTCACTCACACCCTCAGAAGCCTGGGGAGAAGGTGCCGTTCCAACGAGGCGGCTCTTCTCCCCAGTCTTCCCCCTGCTTTCTGTACCAGCCCTTTGCATTTCAGTGTGGGGTCATTTTCCATAAATAAACTGCAAAAGTGACCTTTYGCAATAAGAAAAAGGCTTCTTTCCCCCATATGAGAATAATAGGGGCCTTGGCTCAGTGGTGGAGTGGRTGCTTCATGTGCATGGGGCCCTGGTTCCATCCCCAGYTCCAAGAGAACAGAGTCCCTCCTTGCTGGTATCTGTTCTTGCCACCAAACCGAGCATTTGTTGAAAAATCCTCCACTTCCTGCAAGCTGACCTTGAAGCCGGATCAGCATGGATGACCTGCTTCACCTYTGCATTCAGAAGGCCGGGTCAGAGCCTTTCAAATCCCAGGAGTCCCTCAGCACCAAGACTTTGCTTCCGMGTGGTAGAGGTCACTTGAGAGGCGGTCAGGGTGGCCCTAAAACAAAAGGGAGGGGCCTACAGCCCCCTCAAGGGCTTRTTGCCTAGATTATTTAGAACCTGACAAACAGGAAAGGTCTCACTTGCGAAAGGTCCCGGAATAGCAAGTGGCAGAATGCTTGCTTCGTGTGTGCAAGGCCCTGGATTCCACTCCCTTTCTTTGAAAAGAAAAAAGGAAAAAAAAACGTTGAATATACAGAAATGTTTGCTGCCTCCGAATAATGGGAGGATGGAGATTCTTCTCCCCTAGGCATTTGCCTTAGCGCTCAGAAGGTCTCTTCTGGCTGTTGTTTGCAGGGGTGAAGATTAAACGCAGGGCCTCTGGGTGGGGCRCTGAGCAAGCGCTGTACCGCTCAGCTGCACCTCCAGCCCATGTTGGTTTCAGTAAGTTGTTTAGGAAGTTTTAGTGTGTATTTGAGAACTTTTTCTGTGTTAAAATTCTACTTCATTTCTAACCCCGAAATGACTTAGAAYGTGGATCAGAGGCAACTTTTTAAATTTTTATTTATTTTTTTGCTGACTTTGCTTTGCCTTGAGGTTTTACCTCAAGGTTTGGCTTCTGCCTTGCATGGTGTGAATTCCAGAAATGGGTTCCATAAGAAACCCAACCCAGGGCTGGGGTTGTAGCTCAGTGGCAGAGCRCTTACCTAGCATGTGTGAGGCACTGGGTTGGATCCTTAGCACCACATAAAAAATAAACAAAACAAAGGCATGATKTCCATCAACAACTACCAAAAAAACCCAAAATTTAAAATCCCTTACGGRTGGGCCCTGTAGGGAGGTGGACAAGTGGGGACAAGGAGCCTGGACTCACCAGCCTCTGCATTCCAGGGCACCGGGGCTGCACGGTGAGAGGCAGCCAGCGCATCCTCTGCTGGCTCCAGCTGGGCAGCTCTGCTCACCTGGTGGCCAGGAAAGCACCAGCCCATCTTAAGACCCGCTGCAGCGCGGCCGACTTCAGACCAGCGTGGGGACCCTCGTGCTTTCCCCTCCCCAGCAGGAGAATCAGCACTTTGTCCCTCGGGTGAATCCTCGCCTCTGCTTTCTCCAGAGAGCAAGAGAACTGAACTCCTGGATTAACTAAGTGACAGTATTTTTGTTTGCACTTCCTACACATCCTGCTGTGTAGAACCTCTACAGAGTCAAACAGACTGTATTCTTGTACAGTTTTAATCGGTTCTTAAGGTAGAATCTGGAGTCAAGCTCTAATGTGTTTTGTTTTATAAATAATATATATTATGTATATGAAATGTGTATCTATAGTATGTCTGTTCAGAGACGGACAAGGCTGCACAGTAAAAGGCAGATCCAGAAAATCGAAAGGTACTGGACCTTGTTACAAAGCAACTCGGCCATCGCTTCTCCATGAGCAGATGAAAAAGATTTTATTGCCTAAGAAAGAGGTTGCAAATCCCTCTTTACAGAAAAGGTTGCAGATCGCTGTTCTTTATAACCAAAGAACCTACCCGGGACAGCACGTCTTTGCTGTCCCCTCTTGTTTTGTGTGAGCGTATACGTTTGACTGCAAGTTTGGTGCCATATTTCCCTTGGCTACCAAGCCACCGTGCTGCCCTTCTCTGTCCTCTGTTTCACAAGCACACTGAGGAGTCTCACAGCTRTATTCTTTGGTCTTCCACCGGCCTGACACCTGCTGACCTGACATTGTATGATAACCTTGAGGAGACCTGGGGCCTGGCTCCAGCCCAGCCTCCTACGGTGGCAGGTGGGATGCAGAGAGCAGTGTTCATGTGAGCCAACAAAGGGCGGACTTCGAGTTGGGGTGGGTGCTGGGGAAGGGTGCTGATGTGGGGTTTTGCGGGTTGGTGGGGGATTGGTAGATTTCATTGTGGTGTGGTTTTGCTGCTGCTGTTTTGTTTGATTCTGAAAAATGCTGAAGAGGCAGACTGAGCTCTATATGAATTTCACCGGTTCACGTGACACTGTGTCTGCAGCAGACGGCTGAATACGGACGACCCTGCTGTCGTGTCTTCACTTGTAAAACTCTCCTGCAAATGGAGATGATGTTGTACAATATGTGTGTGGAGTTTTACAGGAGTAGCCTACGTCCCTGTGCCGGAGACGCCTGCACCGCTGGTCCAGCTGCCCAGCTGTGTACGGGTGGTGAGAGGAGGCGTGAGACCGTGCGCAGCCCGCTCTACCTTTCTCCTTCRAGTTCGTAGCATTGGGAAATGAGGAGACATTGGAGACTTTATTGAAAAGCTGCTGTTCATGATTTTTGTGTATAGTGAGCTGACTGTAGTATTTTACTATTGTCTGTTTTAAAGGACGAAAAACTGTAATTTATATCCCCTTTCGACTTTATTGTATTTAATTGGTACAGATTTGTTGTGTGTGTTTTAGAATACAAACTGTCTAATTCAGATGTTAAAACATCGGTTGTTGGTCTTTCATAATCCTGCCCTTCGTTTCTGATCCACTTTACCGTATTTGCATATATGTATGTCACTGGAGCGGCAAACAGTGTCACATTGGCGGGGGTTACTGAAGGCTGGTCACTGCYCCAGCATTGGATATCTATTATCATTTAATCTGAGAGCGACCACAGCTGCTGTTCTTCAAGGGTCTGACAAATGGAAAGCTGACCCAGGACCTGGTGGGAGTCCTGGCAAAGCCGGGAGGCAGCCCACTCTGCCCTCAGCCTCTCCTCTGTGCTGCTTGGTGAGGTACTTGGATGGAGGGCTGGGCAGTCATAGGGCAGGAGGTGGTGAGCGTCACAACTCCCCGGCTGACCAGCACTCTGGTGTGGGGGGAGGGGAGTTCTGGAGCAGGTAGGATGTGGGTTACCATGCTCAGCAATGCCTAGGCAAACCCTCAGAGCAAGTAGCAGTGCCCTCTCGCCCCCGCCCCCCACACACACACACACACACTTGGAAATGGTGGCTAAAGATTGCTTACTATGAGAATTTTGTTAAAAATGGTATTATTACAGAATGTTTTCAGGAAAATCTCAGCTGTTCACAAGAGCCTTTCTGAAGTCACCAAGAGTTGGATCTATACAGTGCTTTATAGAGACTTCCRGGAAGAAAKAGAGAGGGGGAGAAAAAACTCAGAACTTACTCAAATTTTATAGTCTAGGTTCAGCAAGAGAGAAACTCAGCTATTTAACGCTTAAGCCAGTGGTAGAAACTGGAAATACTGTTCAAGACAAAAATGAACAAATCTGCCAGGCTTACTGGTGCACACCTGTAAATACCTGCGACTTGGGAGGCTGAGGTAGGAAGATGGCAAGTTCTAGACCAGTGTCAGCAATTTAGCCAGGCTGTGAGCAACTGGAAATGTGGCTAAGTGGTAAAGCGTCTCTGCGCCCGATCCCTGGTACCAAAACAACAACAACAAATGAACAAATTAACATCCYCTTACTGGTGTGAGATCAGTGGTACTTGGGACATTGGCATTGTCACTTGTTATGATTATAAGAGAACGAACTGGTTTGGGGACACAGTCTATTGAATATATCAGTACAGGCATGTGTTGAACAGTTAATTTCCT